TTTCAAGACCCACTTGTATGCTTGCAAAGTGCAATGTAGTTATCATGTGTTGCAATTGGCTAGAGCATTCAGACACTATTACTATATCATCTGCAAATCTTAGGTGAGTAAAGTATTTTCCTTGTATATATATGCCACAGCCATTCCAATCCAGCTGTCCAAAAACGGTTTCCAACACAGAAAAAAAAGTGTAGGGGATAATGGGTCACCCTGCCTTACTCCTCTCTTTATATCTATTTGTGGACCTAAAGTTTCTAATTTTACCTTGCTAGTACATTTTTCATAGATGTTTTTTAAAACTTCAATATATTGTCTCTCTACGTTTTGTTTTCTTAGTGCGTCCCATATACTTGAGTGTGATACTGTATCGAATGCTTTTTGATAGTCGATAAAAGCAATATACAGAGATCTCTGCTGTTCTTGGTATTTTTCTATTAGGAGCTCTAAAGTATGTATGTGGTCGACGGTGGAGAATCCTTTTCGGAAGCCAGCTTGTTCGACTGGTTGGTGAAGTTGTATGGTAGGGCTTATTCTTTTTTCAATAATTGATGAAAACAACTTGTAGAGGCTTGGTAATAGACTTATAGGCCTGTAGTTTGAAATATTTTTTGGGTCTCCTTTTTTATATATCAATATTATGTTGGAATCTGACCATTGAGAAGGTGTGGCAGCAGTATCAAGTATACGATTAAATAAAAGCGTGAGAGGGTGGCATAATACTGGCGCTCCATGTTTTAATATCTCGTTAGTTATATTGTCGGGGCCAGGGCACTTGTTTATTTTTAGGTTTTTTATGTTGGTGAGGATCTCTATTTCTTGTACAGGTTCTATTTCGGCAGTGTCACTGTTTTCTATATTTTCTAGGGTTGCCTGGTGACCTCTTATCGGTGTTGTTGGGGTGTTATACTAATATATATAATATAATAATAATAAATTTATAACATATAATTACGCGGGATTTACAAGCTATGGGAAACATCAAGACTACCAAGGGATTTCAATAAATAATTTTCGCTTGAATACCTGAATAATTAATATTTATATGTTGTAGAGTATGTAGTGAAGGGTACGTAGGCAGGACAAATAGTGTAGGGTGAATAGTGTATGTAGGTAATTCAGTTTGGTAGTGTAGGTAGGTAAATGATGGGAGCAAAACCGCATGCAAGAGCCGAGAGTTACTCATAAAACACACTCTTTTCAGATCTTGAACTCCTCTCGAAAATGTTTGCTGAATCCCGCCAGCGCTTCGGTAAGCGCTATGATCCGCAGATGATCCAGATGGAGAACAAGTTACTGCATCTCCAGCCTCTGGATGCAGCGGACTTGCATCTCAACGATCCCAGTAAGAGCGAGTTGTATGCAGAAATGCGAGAGAAAGAAATGCAGCTGCAAAAGGCTGTGATGGATTTGATATATGCACATGATGTAATGATGGAGGCTGAAGGACAACTTTATGGGAGGAAAATGCGTGGTCTCCATTGCAAGCTCTAAATCCATAGCTAATTCAATTGCGTAAGCAAAACTATTTTATTACAGCCCTGTAGTAAATAGGTTTGGGTATACAAAACCTCTTTGGTGTTTTGTGGTTTGTTTAAATGTATTGTTATGTTTCATTTGGAGTTGCAACAAAAAAGTGCCAAAAAAGAATGAAAATGTAACATCAAGGGGATCTTCGAGTATAGTGTAGTCGGTGTGTAATAGTCGGGTACTGAGAACCAGCATGCTTAGTGAAATAAATTAGAGGTAATAAGACAAAACAGAATAGGTGCCATGGTGCTTATTATTGCCACGTAGGCTACAGATGCCCTTTGGACATGTTACTCACATTGCTTTTGCATACAACTCCATTTGGACCATAAAGTAGCCTATAACAATCTTGAGGCTTATATCTATATCTGTGCAAAAACTTCATCAATATAGTTACAGGAGTTTTAATGAGTTGCACAACAAATACTTTTATAGTTTAATATTTTATTAGTTAGTAATGTAATTGTATTTAAAACTCTCTCATTATGAGCTATTCCTAAAATGTTATAAATTTTGTTGCCTTATTATTAAGCATTTATGTAAAAGATTAGGTAGAATTTGAAAGAAAGGAATGTTTAAGTATGACCTAAGATGGCGCTGTGTACATCCAATTACTAAAGGGTGATCAATGCGAAAACTTACTTGCATAAAATCTCTTTTAAAGAGCTACTGATGTTGCTATAAGCATTGTCGTAAATTGAAACGCCAGATATAATCGCTGTCTGTAAAAAATAGATAGATTTTATCCAAAGAAATAATACGTGATATGAAGGAGAAAGGAGTTTGTGATAGATAGGGAAAAAAGTATGTTTGCCAGTCCTAAGTAGATTGGAATAAGGGTAGAAGAAAGACTTGAAAGAAACTCGAATTCTAGTCAGTATTACGCTTTTTATGCTGCTAAAGGCTTGAACCAGATTTGGCGAGTAAAATAAAATTTATCAAAAATATAGATCACATGAATTAGTAATTAAAAATGTGTCCCATGTTAAGGTAAAAAATTTTTAATAATAACAATCACGAACGGTAACTTTATCTAAGCTAATACATACACGGAGTAATGAAATAAAACAGTTCTAGTTAATTTTGATTGCAACAAAATTTGCCGTTTTAACAGAGGTGAAAACTCTGACAGCTAATAGCTGCATATTATTAGTTATTCATAAAGAACTGATCAACAAAATGGTAGATTTTGCTAAAACATTTATTTTATTTATTAGAAAAATGGCATAGATATATATGTATATTCGCCACATCTGGCTTAGCCATTAAAACTGAAATTGATCTCAAACATTAATTTTTTAAGCTAAATTGTATGCAATCTCTAATGTACTCAAAAATTAAATAATATTAAGCTTTAAATGTTGTTATTGAGTGTCGTAAAAGCTTCAATAGACCATAATTTGTTGTACACCGTGATTTAGGTCTAATAAAAGGTACAGATGTTTTTGTAGCTACCTGAAAAAGTTACTTCAAAAAGATTTGTACCTTACTTTGAAGATGATGTTTAAAATCCAGTAAACAGCTAATGCTAGCTAGAACTGTAATAAGGGCTATCTAGCAGCTATCAGAACTAACTGTATTATAGCAACCCTGCAACTAAGACGGCCATCTTTTAGTATAAAAACCTTACTTGCTAAATTGTTTTTCAGATCTGACTTCCAATTACATGTAGTTGATTAATTATCAATAATAAGCCTATAAGCACCCACTGCTGCACGAAGGCCGCTACTCTCACTAAGCAGTTTAGAGCATTAATCACCATGCTTGCTCAAGGTGGATTTGTGATGTGAAACTTATTCACCTTGGTTTTCTTCACCGTTTGTCAGAGATGTGTAAATATCATAAAATTTTGTATGAAAAATGTTGCGTATCATGTTAACATCAATGCATGAAGTTTTAAAGCTTATAGTTTTCCTCGATATGTGGACTATCCAAAACAAAAATACTTTATCAATTCGAACCAGTTATTCCGGGTATTAGTGTGTTCAAACATACTAACTAATACTAAAGATTATGCAGTTGCTGTAATGCAGTGTATCTGATAATACCATCCATAATAATTGTAGGAAATAAAAAGGTTCAGGGTGTGCCAACAAATATATAATAGTGCAGTGATTTTACAATTTTTCATAAACTTTTCAGATTTTAATATAATTATGATGTTTTATTGTTTCGTGGTCACTAGATGGCGTTACTAATGCGTCAGGTCCTTGTGTAAAGAATTCCTTTATTATTTTAGCTATGAAAATGTAATTAATTGACCTCATTGTACACATATTTAATGTTATTTTTCTAGTGAAAATTGTAGCTCTCATTGCACTTTAAAACTCTTTTTCACATGAAACTCCAGAATATCCTCCTCATTGGACTTAATAGGTTCCTTTATCAAATAAAAATCCAGGTAACAATTTTATTGGTTCTAATATGTTGTTTTCGTAGTTAAATATTGAAGTCGTTAATATATGTTTAAATGTATTCGAACGTGATAGTAGATTAGGTACAAAATATATAGATTATTTATTTTAGGTAGGTAATTTTATTATTTTATTATTGATGGAATATTAATGTTATCAATGTATTAAACATATCTAATCTGAGATTGTTGTTTTATTTTCTTCCAAGTTTTATGTGGCTTCGGCCGTGTGGTATGTTGATGAAAAGTAGCCTATTGTTCAACATATTCCAGATTGTATCCTATGCCTGTGCAAAATTTCATCCAGATCTGTCCAGGCGTTTTTGACGTTATTGAGTAACAAAACATTGTAACTTTCGCATTTGTAATATTAGTAAGTCCCCCCACGCCTTGAAGTTTTCAATGCGAAAAGAGCGCCCTCTTTTCTTTTGGATATTTTGGTCCAGGTTAAGTACCTACCTACCTTGTGTGTGTTATTGTAGAAGAATACTTAATTTGGTGGTTATATCGTCATTGTCGGGCACGCTACCATAGCAGCGGTAAGACCCCTCTTTGAGGAGTGGCTTGAGAGACGCCACGGCGTCCTCACCTTCCGTCTGACGCAGGTGCTTACCGGGCACGGCAGCTTCGGTAGGTTCCTGTTTCGGATTCAGCGGGAGGAAACGCCCGAGTGTCGTCATTGTGAGGACCACCGCCGTATCCTCAGGGAAGTGATCGGCGGCGGCGACCTCTCGCGTCCGGCCTTAGTCGAGGCCATGGTGCGGAGTGAGAGGAACTGGGACGCCGTCTCCTCCTTTTGTGAAGCAGTCATGCTCGCAAAGAGAGGCGGCCCGCGTGAGGGATCAATCCTCCTCCTCACGCCCCAGCAGCCGCAACTGGCGACACTACGGGCGTCGGGGATCGAGGGACGATCTCCGGCCACCGTAAGCACGGGCCTGCGGTCGGCGAGTAAGGGCAGCTCGCCGCCCGACCAGAACCAGGCCCGAGCGTACGGCGCGTAGCATTCCGCGCGCGCCTCAAAGAGCCATTCGACCACCACAGACGGGGCCCTAAAGGGCTGATGTTCAGCCGGGGTTGCGGAGTAAGCGCAATGAGGTACCGCGACCTCGGCACAGAGCAGGAGAAGGAACAGGGGGGTTTTTAGTCAGTAAGAGTCTGACACTCCCTCCTGCCCGGCCCTGGGCGAGAGAAGTCATTTGATGATTTTCCACTCACAAAAAAAAAAAAATATCGTCATTGTAGGTGTACCTATGATGAGAAGGGTTGCAATTAAACATATTACAAAATAATTTATATTTTATTTTAAAGACCCTTATACAAACCAACCATTTTGTTTGCCAACCTATAACCCATTCTTTATAAATAATGTATGTATTAAAAAATCCAAATATTAATTTAGCTTGAATATTATCTTGAAATAATAAAACTATTTACTGTAGCTGAATTGTTGTTTAAAACAACTCTTTGTGCATCTGTGGTATTCAATTTCCGAACGATGATTTCAAAATTTGACTTAATACGGTAGATATTCTGTGTTCCGGTTTCAGCATAGACAAAAATGTTTTTAGTTTTTTTTAATTTATTTAATGCCTATCTCACACTGACGGTACTCATATTATAATGTTGAAATAAAAACCATTTTTCCTAAAATAATAAGAGCCGTTCTAAAAAAGCCAAAAAGCTCTCATTTACAGGTTTAATACGGCAATTTTGATTTATATTTAAAATTTATCATATGTATATTGGCTATGTTCATAGACTTTTGGTATCCAAGCAACTATTTTTGTCAAAGTTGTTGATCTCTTAGGTGATGTTCAGGAAATTTCGCAAACTTATTCTGAATTCCATTACGCAAGAATTTTGTCTTTTTACTTTATGCGTACTCAGTTTATTAGTGCCAATTGAAGGTCAAGGAAAAACACGGCAAATAATGACTGAAATCCAAACTCTTTTTAAAGAACACTGCGTTGTTCCTGATGTGATAAATATACCCCCTTCAGAATTGCTGACCATAAAATACCCGAGTGGTTCTGTGGTAACTACCGGTAAAGAATTGACGCCTACTCAAGTTAAAGATCAACCTGTTGTACAATGGGCGGCTAAAGAAGAAGAATATTATACGCTGGCTATGGTTGACCCTGATGCCCCAAGCCGAGAAGATCCTAAGTTCCGTGAATGGCATCACTGGCTGGTAGGAAACATTCTTGGCGGACATATTGGGAAAGGTGAAATATTGTCTGAATACATTGGTTCCGGTCCACCAAAAGGCACAGGATTGCATCGCTATGTATTTTTAGTATACAAGCAACCTGAGAAATGTGATTTCTCTAAAATACCTAAGCTTCGAAATAATTCAGGCGAAAAAAGAGGAAAGTTTTCTATTGCAAAATTTGCAACGGAATTTAAACTTGGAAGTCCAATAGCTGGAAACTTTTATGTTGCTAAATATGATGACTATGTGCCAAAATTGTATGCTAAATTGAAAGGATAATTTTATTTGTCAATTATTTTAATTGTTACTAAAACATTACGCCGCAATTGTAGAAGATGCCTTATTCGAGATTCGATTGTCTATGGTAGTAATCAGTAATTTCCGCCTCCGCGTGACATTTCCATTTTTCGGCCGTGTCCGCCATTACATTTTGGAGTTTGCGTAAATTGGTCGTAGCTCTGCGAGCACGCTATACCGCGCCGCGCGTTATCAGTGACAGTTTATTCGTCTACGTGCGTAGTATCGCAGCGTTTTGTGAAACCAAGAGTATAGACGTTCAATCGTATGTCCATCCAGAATCTGAACACATTTGACCCATTCGCCGATGCTATCAAAAGCTCGGAAGACGACGTACAAGATGGTCTAGTCCACGTCCGTATTCAGCAGCGGAACGGGCGTAAGACTCTCACAACGGTGCAGGGGCTCTCTTCGGAATATGACCTGAAGAAGATAGTGCGGGCATGCAAGAAGGAGTTCGCGTGCAACGGAACCGTCGTGGAGCATCCGGAGTACGGCGAGGTGCTGCAGCTTCAGGGCGACCAGCGCGAGAACATTTGCCAGTGGCTGACGAAGTCGGGCCTTGTCAAGCCCGAGCAGCTGAAGGTGCACGGCTTCTAAGCCTGCGCTAGCACACGTAACATGACCATCTCTCGCCTGCCTACTTTCACTCAACTTACTGTACACAGGCTGTCCCGTTAGGTTATTTCATACTTGTAAAGAACATGTTATTTATTTAACAAATTATTAATTGAATTAACATGTTAATTACCAATTAACAATTATGTTAACAAATTATTAATTGAATCATCAAAATATGTCAGTAATAAAGCGTTTATTATTATTTTGTTCAGTTTAATTGACGCGAGACGGCGTCGACAATATTTTAACTTTTTTATGTGAGCCGCAAGGCACAAGGCGCAGGCCTTTGCGGCCGTAATCTCATCTGTGTAATCGTCTGAGCTTCTAAATACATATTTGATAGGGTTTTACAATAATGCGCACGCTCTCATGACATAAGAAGACTATGAACGGTGTGCCTGACGCTGTGGGCGCTGTGCCGTCCACAAAATAATGAATATTGTGTACTTATGTGAGATATTGTAATCAATTGTTGCTTTTGTTTGCTAGTATTTTCGAGAAACGAACATAATAAAGACGTGATAACATTCATGAACCAATTATTTTAATTCATTTATCGCTTATGTCTAATGCAATTATAAAATTATTATGAGCCCGATGACGCACGACATCTGTCATACAGATCTATCTTGGAGAATAGATTCAGTGTACATTCCTCGCTGTCTTAGAATGTTGTTAGACGTGTTTATTAGTTACGCGTCAACGTACATGAAATAGCAACATTAGTAAATCGTCGAGAATATCGCACGACAAGGAGGAAGAATCGGGTTTTATTAACACTTTTGAAGTGATATTATGACTCTTATGCATTGGGCATAAGAGCTATAATAAAGATACAGGAAAAAACGGTGTGAGTCACGTCCTCGATATAGCGAGGCTATTGCCGTGAGGTCACCGCCTTGCTAACTGTACTAAATATTGTAAAAATGGAAGATTTTAGGATTAATTTCTTGTAGGTACCAAATATCGCTGCAAAATAATTTAACTTCTAATGAAACGCAAGGTCACATAGGTATTAAATAATAATACACTTCGTAAAATCTTTTTTTTTATCTAAGGATTACATGACCAAGGTGTATCTTCTTCGACGGTTATGTCAACAGATAACTATTTATTAGTCATGGCTACCTACATAATTTTAAATTCCTACACTAGGTACAGATCTCAGAATAACTTTACTGATACTAGAAAGTGCTTCAAGAATCATCGGTGACATCAGAGTTCGGGCGTAACGGCATTGCTGACGCGTCGTTTGGGAATGTAAGCAGGTATCCCGCCAAAAGTGTTCAAGAAAGTGACAGCTCGTAGGTATAATAATATTCTAGAAATTGACAAACGAATTATGTGCTCATTGGAGCAGCGTCTGCAATAAATATGTTGAAAACTTAATATTTTACAGCAATTTCATTAGTAGATTAAGGTGTTGCTGCTATTATTGTATATTTTTAATAATTTTGCTGTTTTACTTGCGTTCACAATTTAATGAATTAATTTCATTTGACCTAAATACCAAGCTCGACTCTGTATGAAAAACGAAGAGGTGAATAAAATGTATGTAGTATGTATTTACTTTTAAGATTCTGCGTCATCTTGGCGTCATGTATTCTTCAGATCATGTTAAAAACGCTTCTAGACATCTAGAATTCTAGATGCGTCTTCGTAAATAACATACCATCATATCTATATCATAAAAACATGAGAGACGATAACTATTCCTGTTTGCATTAACGATAAACAAATTAAATTTATGTATAATATAAATAAAGACCAATTTTATACGAATTTGTGTGTAAACAAAGACAACGGCGGGCAATGTGAATCACCACGTGTTTTTAACACGTTTCTCAGTTTCTGCAATAATAATATTCATTTTTTTAAAAACACTGGCACCCCGTTTTTTCCTGACAGCCAAAGCACAAAGCATTCCTTTTTTTTTTCAATACTGGACAACAGAATAGAATGCAAACTGGACACAATAACTCCTACCTGCCGCCTGCGCATAGCAAAATATAATAGTGTGCGTTTTTTTTAGTTCAAAACTTTTTGTCTCTTGAATTTGCTTATGATATGACAAAGCACAGCTATAAAAAATGCTAAGTTAACGGATAATGGAAGTTAGGTAGGTTCAAAGTCAACGAAATTGGTGATGTTAGAAGTTAAGAGAACTAGAAAAAAGGCCACGGTTGCTAAATGTGGAATGGATGACGAGAAAGAATTATATTATAACAATAAGAATAGATACCCTTGTTATTATTTACCGTTTTATTGTAAACCCCTTTAGGAGTCAGATGTTACAACATGTGCCTACAAAAACTTTAAAGTTCAGTTTTTTACCTAAATACCACATTGCCATTTGTATTTTCATAGGCGCTACAAAGGCGAGAGGCGAGTATAACAATTCCATAAAAAGGTATTTTGTTCAATTGAGACTTGTAAATTAATCACCATGTAATATATTTTTATATATAAAAAATACTATGGTATTAAATTTAGCAGTTATAAAGTTGTATTGCACGACCTAATTTTAAGTATATTTTGTATTTAAACGCAATATACGAATACCAAGTAATGTGTGTTATTTTATTTTATTTTATGCCTTTTTGTACGTAAGTTGCTGTTAAGAAGCTGTATTTACAATCCATGCGTTACATCTTCAGTCAAGAGGACGTAGGTAATCAGATTCTTAGTACTTACCTGCTAGAGTACCTATTTTATAAAACGATCAGTATTTCATTAATGTATTTATATTTCATTAATGTAATGTAAGTTTTTCATTGATGTATACATCGTCAGCATAGTATAGGTGCTCACAGCAGCTCAAAGACCTCTTCTCAAACGCAGAAGGCTTGAGAATTAAATACCACGCTTGCTTAATACGGATTGGTGATTTTAAACTCAGAAACTATAAATGCAGGTTTCTTTAAGGTATTTTCTTTTACCGTTTTGTCAGTGGTATGGTAGGTACCTATCTAAATTTGGAAGTAAATGCAACTCGGAAAAAGTTACGTTAAAACGTAATCAAGATTGCCTTTTGAAAGAAAGAAAAGAAGAAATACCAATATTGTCTATTTTTTAAGTACGTTCTTTTATAGTGTTTTGTTTGATTCCCAAATAAAATAAATCAATGGATAAGTCTTGAACTGTACAGTTAAAGGTCACTATCGCCAAAAAGAGCCGTTCGAATAGCTGGAGTGGAGCTTCAGGACCTTTCCAAGTGGCCAATGCGTTCTGCAATAATTAAAAGAGATCATTTCGTTAATTTTACGGATGATGAGGATCTTATGTGTGAAATCTGACGAAAGATAATAAATACGCGTAAGTAAAGATGGTTAGATACCTTTTTAAAATTGGTTAACGGTACTCCTAACCCTTTTCTTACAACCTTAGGTCACTGATTTCATAGCTTTAGTGCTATTTTGGACGGGTGCCAAACGTTTGAGCGTAGGTTTAAAAAGTACGTCTAAATAAAAAAAAATACATCGAAGTACAGTCAGGGGTCGAAAATACAATTGCACACTACCAATTTTGAAATGACCAAAATATCTTTGTAGAATAGAGTCAATGGCTGAGGACTGCTTTAATTTATAGCTTAGAATCTAAATTATTGAATAAACTGGCTGTGAACCATTGAACTTTTACTACTTACAAAGAAATTTTAGTCATTTTAAAATTGGTAAAGTGTAATTGTATTTTTGACCCCTGGCTTTACCCATAGGGAGTAATTTCCTAGATACAAGGTATACTTAGGAGCACTCTCCTTATCTCACTCTCTCTTCCTATCTTTAGGGAAAGCTAGTTAGCTAGCATAGTATCGCGTAGTGTCAATCGCCTTTACTTTCTAAAGTCGACTTTAGTGAACCACCTACAGATGATATAAATTTGACGTCTATGTATTCCATATTCATAAATATTAATAAAAAATACATTGCAAGAGATTCTATTTCTACCTACTACGGGGTTGTTGGGCATGCTCAATACTTAATATAACGCGGCTTCGGCCTGGAGCAGAAGAAACCACGTGGTTATTTTAGTCAGTCTGACACTCCCTTGCATCCTTGCCACTATGTGATTTGAGCCGCTTAATGATTACAAATGCAATACAATTAGATACTACTAATAAACTAGATGAGGGCCTTTGTCAGATAAATTGGGCATTCGTCCAAATCTAGTCGTAAATAAAGTATTGTTTATGATATTATCTTACCTACTCTTTCATAAGTTTGTGGATCTTATTCATTTCTTTCTGATGCCAAGGAATCTTAACAATGATATGGTGTTTTACGATCGAATTATATGTTGGTTAATTGGGCATTGAAAAAAATAATGCAAAATGCAGATACATGAGCTGAGGCTTAAATTACTATTTAATTTAAACAAATTGTGAAGTCAGGAATTAAAAGTGATGATGATTCATGTGTGGCTCAAATACGGTGCTTGACTAAATAGAGTAAATAGTCTGTGGAATTTCAAAAATAGAAAGAAATATTCTCGGCTAAAGGAGAGGTTAATTTTTAGCATTAATTTTAGTTTTTTACCAAACGTTTCGTTAATGAACGTTCTGCAACTACCTACTTAGTAGAAACAAAACGAAACGTTGATGATTAATCTGCCAATCTGACATTTATTTGACAACACAAATTTTGGAAGTTCTGCATTGTATCCGCAATACTTATTTGGGATCAATTCTAATTGAATCCAATAAAAATAAATTAATACGTTTAATTATAAGTATGCAGTATTAAATAAGAAGTCTCTGAATTGACTTCTGTAATTCTCAATTCAAATAAGGTAGTATAGACTCGATGAAATTTAGTTTATAAAATTTACAGTTTTAAGATGAATGTTGTTGAATTAAATTACAGTTTTATGAAGAAATAAGAAGTTAAGATGTCGGATAAGTTGTTGACGCTGGGTCAGCGGGTGATGGTGGTTGGTAAAGACGTGAAAGGTTCCGTCGCTTACGTAGGGCATCCCACCTTTGCAACTGGTAAATGGATCGGAGTTATTCTCGACGAACCGAAGGGAAAAAACAATGGAACTGTTCGAGGACACGCTTATTTTACGGTAATATAGAGTTACTTATATTTTTCTGACTTTATCCTAGCATTTTTGCAACTTGACTAAGGTTGGCACTGAGTCTAATTCACATCTTTAATTTAACATTATAAAGATTAGGACATTACTTTTTTGATCTATCTTGGGAATTACTGACTTGAATTTAATAATCCTTACTCTCCTATTGTAATATGATAATATATTAATTGTGAAAGGCTCTTAAATATAACACTACAATAAATAGGACCAGAGCAGCGGTTGAGTTATACTGGTATTAAATACACAGCAACTTAATTATCCTCTATGAAGTTGTTGTATTTTATTTGATTTAGCTTTTGTTATGATAAGACATAGAAATTTAAAACTTATTCATATATCTATGAAATAATCAAATTTTTCTGTTACTGAGAAAAGTCACAGATCCATATTGTAGTGAACAATAAATCACTTTGCAACAGCTGACATACTACTTCCTAAACTACAAAAAGTATGTTGCAAGCCATACCTGAAAGTAATATGAAAGTTTTCTAAAACAGTATTGAATTATGGCTAAAAAATTTCAAGATTGGGTTAGTTTCTCAATTTAATTTTAACTGTAAAAAAAAAGTGTGAAATGGACTGCTCATTTGCTTAATTTTTTCAAGACAAGAGATTTTTTTTCATTTTATTTCGATTTCATAATGGGCTGGCATTTTGCTGCTATCACCTGGTGGTAAGCAATTATGCAACCTACGAAGGAGCATGCTTACCCATAAGCTTCCTATTCAGGCAGGCCTTGAAGACACCCAGATAAACCATTCGGGGAACACAGACTCCAGCAAAGAATTCCACTCTTAAGCCTTATAAAACTAAAGCTTCTCTCATACTACATACATCTTAGAAATAGCTTTATTTGTAAGAAATAACCCTCACTGGTTTCCTCTTTTGGAAGATAATTTTGTAAGAAGTAGACGCAAGAAATATAAGCATTATTTACAGCCTCACTCCGCGAAAACAGCACTTGTCCATAAAAGTGTGTTTTGTATGGCACCTATAATATACAATAAAATTCCACATAATTTAAAAAAATATTAATAACAATAATTTATTCAAAACAGAACTGAAAAATTTCCTTATTAAACATTGTTATTATAGTATTAAGAATTTTTTAAATGATAACTTATTATAGTTGATTGTTTCATATTTTTAACTTTAGTTGTCTCTTTAATAGTTTTTATTACCTAATTCTATTATTATTTTGTACGCCAACTGTGGCAAAACATGTTGAAACATTAGAGCTTTCACCTTACCATCTGCATTTGCATCTATATGTATAATGTTACCCACACATGTTTATACAAATAAATTTATCTTTATCTTCATCTCTAAATGGCTCTTCACGGCCCGGTTCATGGAAGATGGTAATCAGAAAATAGAAAGTTCAACACATAACCCCGTTATCTATACTTCTATGCTAATATTATAAAGAGGTAAAATTTGTAGGTTTGTATGTAGGGGTAATCTTTGGAACCGCTGGTCGGATTTACAAAATTCTTTCACTGATAGATAGCTAAAATGTTCCTGAGTGCTATAGGCTATAAAACATCACGAAACCGCGCGAGTTTAGCCAGTAAAAAATATAGGAAATCTAAACACAGCCAATATTACAAAAATTTCAGTGTGAAGAGAACTACGGAGTGTTTGTTCGACAAACCCAGATCCAGCTACTGGATTCAGAAGACCATCCGATGGAAACGTCCATGACGACTTCATCTGAGGAGACGAAGACTCCCGCTACCAACAGAAGGTTAAGCAGGTATGTTTTGTTAGATTTTTGTGTGATTGTGTTTTGTATTATTTAAATGTATTGATGCAGGTGTTTAGTTTTTAAAGTGTTGTGTGTAACATGGTTTGGTATGAAAAATAAAAAATTAGGTAGTATTTTGTACTAAGCTGAAGTCAAAATCTTTGAGTCCAACTAAACCATAAATAGGACGTTTTGAAGCGTCAAAATAGAATAACAGTCTATCAGTCTGTAAAGCTAGGTTCTCGTTCCAGAGAGTAGATTCAAAAGGCAAACAAGAAACTCCATTGTTACACCTTTCAAATAAAATATAACTTTTTCTAGTTCATCAATCAATACATTATTTAACACATATTATTTTTATCATATTTGAGAACATTGTAGAGAACAAGTTGTTAAAAAAAACCTGCATTAAATTCCGTTGCTTAGTTTTAAAGATTTAAGCGTACATAGGGATATACGGGCAGAGAAAGCTACCTTTTTATACTATTTAGTCAGAGATTTGACTACAAAGACCTTTTAATTTTTGTTTAATTAACTTTACTTTTATCTTTTTACTGTTTTAAATAATTATTGAACAGGTGTGATTTTGACTTGGTAGTTCAATTTGAAAATGTTCACTGGTTAGCCGTGGTTTTGGTTTTCATTATGAAGATTATTCTTTTGATATATTTTCAAGGTTCTTTTGATTGGTAATAATAAAATTATAATACAAAACCTTTCTTCAAGTAAATCAATATATTATCTTCCTTAAAAATTTACTATGTTAATTTAGTTATAAGATTAATTATTAATTCCTTTTTATACTTTACCATGTTACCTACAACATAATTTTTTTAAATAGATTTTAACAAGGTGTGTGATAGATATAACAGGGTTTATACAAAAAGCATGAAATTTGTAATAAGTTATAGATTAATATATTTTTCTACTAAATATTAAAGCAACATTTACTAAAAAAACTATTTTATCGTGTTTTTAATTGATTTAAATATAATCCTACTTTTCTACTAATAATTTCGAAGTCCTACGCTGGCAACATCAACGAGTCCGGAAGGAGATCGCAAAAAAGTTAAAGGGTACATCTACAGTACAGAGTATATATTTATACATAACAACATACGCTATTTAAAACGCAAGTTCAACTCGTTGCCATAAATGTTGCCATAAATTCGAATGTAATTTCTACTAATAAGATACTAGTGTTGCTAGTGATATAAAATAAATTATACTAATAATGTTGCTAGTATTGTTAAAATTTGTTAGGTAGCATAGTTTTTTGGGTAAGGTTTTATGCACTTTTGTAATACACTGTACATGTATAGAGGGGGCATGAAAAGTGTTTAGGTCCACTATGTATGTATTAAAAAATGTAGAAATATGTTATTTCGTAACATTATTTTCATCTTTTAACTCTGAAGTTTCTTTTTAGAATATGTATAGTTAGGTGAGACTAATATATTTTTCTCGTAAGCTTTTTTTATAGTTTTAGAGGACGGGTATAAATTATAGCACTTTTTAAAATGGTAGAAAAAGCTAATTTTATCTTTTTCGAAGCAGTACTTTCGGCTGTGTGTTGTCCGTTGATCGCTCAGTTTTGGTTCAGTATGTTAATGAAAATTATCTTGAGAGTAGTATTGTTAACATTTAGGGCTGATTTTTCAATAGTCAATTACATAATGTAATCTGAGGAATAAAATTGTTGCTGTCACTGTGTTATGCAAAAATTCTGACGGGACAACATCATAATTATTCCCCAGGTAACTTTTATCTAACAATACGGTAGTTTCCAACTAGTCAAATTCAATACTTTTATCCAAACGTCAAAAACGATACGTTTTTATAAAATCTGTATGAAAAACTGAGCTACGACGTCATAACATTTTTGCGTCAAATAGCTTACTTATTTCACAATAATTAGCTAAAAAAATCTAAAACTTAGTGTATCGATCGATCGACGAATAAAAGGATAGTTATTTTTCAATATTTTATTGTATTGAATCATCGAATTAATTTATTTTTGACCTAGGAAACTACCCAATTGAAAAATCAGTCCTTAGATAAATAGTAGTTAAATATTTTCTTAGACTATAGACAACAACAATAATGTGTGAAATGTAGTCCTGATATATAATGCACTCAAAACTCATACTAACTTAGTTTCTGTACGAGATCTCTTAAATCTATATATTTAATCGGACGTGTTCAGGTATGTTTATTTATATATTTATTTATGTAGGGTATATAGAATATAACACGTTTTAATATAATACATATTACATATATACAAAATGGTACAAAGGTACTGTATAGTATAGTCCTTTACGGATTTTATTCCTGGTGCCTTGAGACAGGAATATCAATGGCAAACAAGAAAAAGTGTACACACACAAAATAAAGCAAACAAAAATGTGTGGAAGAGCCATGCTTCGAAACCAATTGATTGGCTCGACTGGAGTGATAACATGGCCTCACAGAAAACCGGCGTCGAACGACCACAGCGTTGTTTCGCCGTGTGAGTGAGGTTGCCGGAAGCCCCATCCTTGCCCTACCCCAATCCCTCCCTAATACCCCCTAATCCATAAATCTCCAAAACTCTAATCGCCAAAATGTGGCAACGAAAACTTATTGGTAACTCTCCGTTGTTTCGGGTGTCCATGGGCGGCGCTGATTACTTATCAATCGGGTAATCAGTTTGCTCATATGTGCGTCAAATATATAAAAAAAATAAACTTACGTACAAACGACACAGGAGAAAATCCTAGTGTGGGGCAATGTTTTATATAAATAATATTAAAGAATAGTAATTTTGACTTATTTTTTCTTAAAAAGTTTAATAATAGAATATTTTCGGATTTTATTAACACTCATTGGTGCTTACGCAAGTATAAGAACCTACATTAGTTTAATAAAACTCTACAATGTTTAATTTATCCTGAACACGTCCTAAAATATCGTACCTAACTGATAGTGTGTTTCTTTCCCTGCTAGTATTACAGTGGCGCAGAGGTCTAGGCCCACCACGTGAGTATAGAAATAGCACACAATAGCACACTGTAGCAATCTTTAGCACCTGAGAGCACTATAATAGCTCTCTGTAGCAACAAATAGCACTGTATAGCATTTGAAAGCACTTTTGTAGCACTACTGTAGCACTTCGTAGCGTTTCGTAGCACTTCGTAGCGTTTCGTAGCACTTCGTAGCACTTGTAGTTTTCTATACAATGTTAATTATTTATCTATGTAGTGTTGAATGCTTGGAATTATATTTAAGGCTAATTTTTCAATAGTCAGATAAATGTTATCTGAGGAATAAAATTGTTGCTGTCACTGTCTTATACAAACATTGTGATGCGATAGCATCATAATTATTCCCTAGACAACTTTTATCTAACCATTGAAAAATCAGCCCTAAAAATATTAAACTATAAAATGGTTCATGTTACTCGTTAAATTCCTGTTTATGGGTCAGCTGTTCAGCTATGCTTGGGGTCCTACACCAATTCTTTTTGCATACTGCTATTTATTTCTCTACCTATATTTTTTTCTTGCTAGCCTTACTTTACCATCTTGCATCAATAGAGATAAAAAAATATTATAGTCTCTCTCTATTCTAGAGTTAGAAAGATCCCATATATCTTTCGACCAGCTAAGCATGGGATATCTCTTAGTAGTTTGGTCTGCGTGTCTATCTTAAGAGATACAGATAGTAGAACTTCGCGTTATTGGTTGCGCGTTATGGATTGCACGGTTGGTGCAGTGGCTGGGCAACTGGCTGCTGTGCGACGCGTCGCGGGTTCGATTCCCGCACGGAACAACACTTTGTGTGATCCACAAATTGTTGTTTTGGGTCTGGGTGTTATGTGTATGTGAAATTGTTTGTTTGTAAACGCACCCACGACACAGGAGAAAATCCTAGTGTAGGGCAACGTGTATTTTTTTCAAAAATAAATTAAAATAAATAAATAAAAAATATCTCTGGGACGCGCGGGACTCCTGTTTTTTTATGGCGGCTTTTGGTTGTTCTGGGACATAGGAGTTGCAGCGGTTTCTCGCCATACCATAGGCGAAATTTGATGAATTTTCTTATAAAAAGCTGATGATTACAAGTTCTTTTTTAAATAAAACGCCGTCTTTTGCTTTCATAATGCTTCGCTCTACTATAAAAAGGTGACAAGAGCTACTTAAGCCAAATAAAGTAACATGAATCATAAACTATACTATGATTTGTAAGCTTTTTTGTTTAAATATTTACTTAACTAAAGAAATAAAGAGACTATAAAGACTAAATAAAAAAAAAAAAGATTACCGAATTGTTATTCAAATAAAATTTAAAGCTTCGTTATAAAGTTGTTACTAGCTGGAAATATTAACATATAAGGTGACATTTTGAAAGAGGGATATATTCAAAGAACCTATTTTCATGCTCAATCACAGCAACTATTTCAATGGGACCAATATTGAATTATCAAAAATAAATTAATTTCCCCTAAAATGTCGCAACGGTTGATTGTTAATTTTGCATATGGATTTCAATGCGCCTCAGTGGCAATCACCAATACACGCGTCTGTATCATACGACGTTTTTCAACACACATCTGAATAAAATAATACTTAAATAAAAAAAACTTCAAAAGAGATTAGAGAAAACGAGACGAGTCTGTTGTGAAAAATGTTTCGTAATGGCGGGAAAAAATTGCCAGTATTCCTATGCGCGCGCATCGGCCATAGACTGAAGAGTGATGTTACTTTTTTTTGGGCTTTTCGCGGATAGTATTTTAGCGCAAGTGTAAGCGTAATTCAACCAATAATTAAAAAAAACTCTATTACTCACTAGTTAATAATAGTAATGAAAAAGGCACAGTTTGATTATAGATGTCATTACGTGCCTAATCGCCGTGGGATTAGAACCACTTTATGAGGATGTACGAATTTTTTTTTTTGTAAATTCCATGTTGGTCGTATGGAAATAATTGTATTATTTGAGCACCAGAATTGGGTTCTTTAATATGTCAGTCGTTCAGAATGCCATCTGAATATTTGAATATTTTGTATTTATATTTGATCGTAGTATAGTTTTTAAGGGCTACAAAAAGCACTCAATATTAACAAAATAACTATAGGTAACGAAATGCTAATCTTTTGGCTGTTAAATGAGGTGAGGTAAACACGCCAGGACATATACATATGCACAATAAAATTAATATTTGCCTTATTTTTCTTTCACTCTGTCTTAGGGATGTGGTTTAAAATGCATGTGATTATAAATTTGATCTGTGCCTTATTTGTAGGTATGGATGCTACAATCTTTTGTATATACATACAATACCGCCAACGTATCTTGACGAGTCTGAAGTTAGCTGATTAGCTGCGCAGTACACAATTTTGTTCCTAAAAAATCCATTGCGCAGACAAACGGCTAACTTCAGACTCACCAAGATACGTCGGCCGTACCTACTGTACTTACTTGTGTCATTATAAAATGTTTATTTTGTTTTAATTTATTACACCTATTATTAATGGTATACACGCCAGCACAATAAGTTGCTCTATGTTCAAAATCAATATAAAAAAAATATCGCCATCCTAATTTAAGGCTTTACAAGGGTCACAGACACAGATCGTGGTCCCAGTCTCAAACTTGTCGGGTTAATTCGACACATACGTAAATAAGTCGTAAAAAATATTTTTCTTTTCAATAGACACTAATTAATATCTATGGAAGGAAATGTGTGAATTGATTGTTTTTTTTTAAAGAAATTACAAAAAAATGGTGTAGCTTTACGAGCTGGTGTGTGTACTATATATTTGCTTGGGTATTTGTATGTTATGTCTGTCTGTACGTCTGTTTTTTTAAATTCTTTTGTACATAAATTGATATGCTTTTGAATGGTATGAAATAATATTGTTATGTCTGTTTTTTTTTTAATATTGTATTCGTAATTTTCTAACTGGAGAAGCGATGGTTTATGTTTTATGGATTAAGGATTATTATTGAGTTTGTTCTTTCCTTTCACGGGACCACAGGGTCCCGGACCTTTGGAAGGCATACGAGGAGCCGAAGCCAACTCGCAGAGGCCCGTTGAACAATTTTAATTTAAATGTGATGGGGCATCTGCCGTCAATTATCCCTGTATGCACTATAAAAGTGCACCCAAGGACAATCCCCGGTTGATGCAGGACTATTGTGAAATGTGGTAAAAATTTATAGGGTTATAGGTATGGGTTGCTATGGACTGGATGTTTTTTTTTGTAAGAAATGTTATATTATTATGTAGTATCAAAAAAGGGATAAGTCTAATATAGATAATGATTATTTATCATTAGCGGATTTTGGAATGTGGTTATAAAAAAATAGAATCCTTTTTAAAATAGCTGAACCCTAGTGGAGCTCTATACCGAATCATAAAATATTTTTTTATGTTCCACATCAATTACAATTAATATTTGTAATTAGTTAATGACAGTTCATTTTACCTGTCAAATATGTAATGTCACGGTTCAGGCGTTCTCGAGTTTATGTAAGACCAATTAAACCTTTCATGGATTTTCAATATTTCAAGACCAAAATAACTAAATCTGTCCGGCTGATTCAGAGTTTAAGCGAGATTAACTGACAGTTCTCTAAGATTGCGGTATGGTAAACTACTAACTATAACATTTAACAATAAGGAATGTTATCAATTAACAATTATTACCACTAACTTTCTTAAGTCTAAACTTGGTTTTAATTGAGAAAAGCTCGACTAGTTTCAAGTTACACCGGGACTCTTATTCATGAGCAATATGCGCTTGTTCAACTATAGATCTTTCTCATTTAATTCACGTAAGTAAAACGTTATTTTCAATTAATAAAGTCTCACGATAACTTTAATTTTTTAGGGTTGATTTTTCAATGGCTAGGTGAAAGTTACCTGGGGAATAATTATGATGCTGTCGCGTCAGAATGTTTGTATAAGACAGTGACAGCAATATTTTTTTTTCTTAGATAACATTTATCTGACTATTGAAAAAACAGCTCTTAATATAATAATTTATTGAACTTATAACTAAACCATCTCTTTTCCTTAAACAGTATTGTATATTCAATGCAAGATTTTCTTTGAAATAATAGAATTATGAATCAAATTGTTCAAGATAGTAATAGGTCTTTACCTATGAAATTGCCGTTTTGCATGAAAAAAATTAAACGAATTTTTTGATTTGAAATGCGATGACAATGTAACACTAATCAATAAACAAATGACTACTTTTGGAAAAAGAATCCCATGTTTTTAAAACAAAATTAATTAGCCTTAGCCTAACAAAAACTATTTTGATTTGAAATGGCCAGTACTGCAGAACGGCAATTTCATAGGTAAAGACTTATTGTTTTCATACTCCGTTGTCATTAATATTTATGAAAATCTTTCATGAATATAAAATGCTTCTATAGTTTGTACCAAAATATGTTGGAAAGGTTTGTTCGAATCTGAGTTTAGTATGTTATTTAAGAAATAAACACAAAGAGAGACCTCTTTGAATATAAAAACAAAATTGATTTCGAGAATTTTGTTCTAAAATTGCCACTAGCCATAAAGAGACAGGCTACTCCAATTTTTTGGTCGCTCATCTAAAATCCCCAAGTCGTTTGCCAAGTGCGGGGATTATGACAAACATCTTAAGAAAGAGGCCTTTGGTCAGCAATAGACGGATTATTTCTGTAATGATAATAATTATTTAATTTTGTGTTCTTTATTTCGTTTTGTCTTTAATAAATAACTCAGATTGGACAATACTTTTCCTAACATATAGTGTACTCAGGGCCGGTTTTCAAGTGGTGCCAGAAACAAAAATGGCGCTCTTTTAAATAAAAACTTAGTTTGGAAGACTTTTATTTGTCGTTTTGTTTGGCATTGGCGCCCTAACTGTGATAGTGAGCCAGGCTTTGGCATTTATGAACCGGCTCGACCGGAGTAATACGGCCTCACAGAAAACCGGCGTGAAATAATACGTTCGTTGTATTGCGCCGTGGGAGTGAGGTTATAGGCGGCCCAAATCCTCCCCCCCCCAAAAGGGCCCATCAAGAGGTTCCATGTTCCATGGTTCCATGGCGGCGCTTATTACTTACCATCAGGTAATTCGTCTGCCCGTTTGCCGGCCTATCATACATATAACAAAATAGGCAGCGCCCAGTTCATTCACAGATTTGGAACTGCCCTTAAGCCGTCTCTAATGTACACACTGCACACATGTTGTACTCAAAGCCGATTCTATTAATATTTTGAGAAATAAACATGATGTTGTTTTAAATAAACCTGGCTTAGGCGACTTGTCTGTCGTTTTGTTTCTTATTGGCGCCCTCGCGATGATGGCGCCCTGGTACCGCTCTAGACCGGCCCTGATGTACAACGCAAATATCAAGCTACAATAATAATTGGATGTGTAGAAGTTTTTACTAAATAATATTAATTATTAATTAACAAATAATGTTTTAACTAACTCTGGTAAAGGGTGCGACGGAAGGCGTCACCGGCGCAGAATAAGGCGGGAACTCTGTCTATGTCGAGGTAATTTATTATAAAAAAATTTAAAGCCATTGCAGGTCGATAGATATTTGAAATTGTAGCTTTTTGTGTAGAGAATAGAGTTTGTTATTTAATGTGAAAAATTAATTGTTGTTTTGTTTTCCCGTCGCTAGCGGCGCTAGTGTAGCTGAAATATTAAAAATAAAACAAACGAAGAGGTTATAAGTCACAAATAAAAAAAAAGGGAAGTGAGTGAAAGAAGGTCCGTGCAACTTGCAAGTTCTGTCGAATTTCTTTTCGAAAATTTGGTTGATCCTCAATTTTTATTAAGGTCAGTAATTAATTTTGTTTTCTGTCTGGAAAAGTAACTTTATTTGTCAGGTAGTTAAATGGCTCTATGCTGTGGTATGGCGGTCTGAATGCCTTAGGGATATTCTATCCGAAAATGCTTAGGCTCTTAAGATAGATTATGTGCCGGTGGGTACATAGGCGGTTTTAAATATATTTATCCACTAGCTGACCGTTGTGTGGTGACCCGTTTAGTATCTTGAGTAAAAGCAGCCTATGTGTGACCTTTCCAAGGTCCTACCTATATACCGAATTTCAACCTAATCGGTCCAGCTGTTTATGCGTGAAAAAATAACAAACATGTGCATATGTTCTCACAAACTTTTTTACTTAATTTTTAGTAGAATTGAATTATTTTTCCCCCAAATTAAATAGATACAGTTTGGTCATGGTTAGATGATATAATTGTCATTTTCATCACATTCAATAATAAATCTTATTCTTTTCTTAAAAACAATAATGCAAGTAAATTAAATTCTATTGACCTGCAGTCGGCTTGGTGACGGAATATCAGTCTTATTTTTTGTTTGAAGATATTTTGTGGTTGTTTTTTCTCAACTCTTAATTATTATGTGGTTTCCTGCTCGTTTTTTATTACGGGATTTATAAGTGTGGGAGAGCCATGCTTCGGCATGAATGGGTCGGCTTGACAGGGAAACGCAGCCTCACAGAAAACCGGCGTAAAACATCCACAGCGTTATGTTTAGCCGTGTAAGTGAGGTTACCGGAGGCCCAATCCTTCTTCTCCCCTGACTCTTCCCCAATCCCTAAATGTCCAAATCCCTAATCCCTTAAAGATCGGCAACACACTCGTAACTCCTCCGTTGCGCGTATCCATGGCCGGCGCTGATTGCTTACCTGGTATTACGGCTGTTCGTTTGCCGACCTGTGATACAGAAAAGTAAAATATTTGATTAAATATGACCACAAAAAATCTTTACTTAATACCACCGTATTATATATTTTTAATGTTATTGTTTTGTTGCCACCATTACAACCTATTTGTACCAAGTCTTGCTAAAGAATCCATAGTTCAATATGTTTTTTTTGTTATGTATTTATATTGACGGATATGTTTTAGTTTTAATAAAACCTCCTTAGAAGACGGCTATGTACTTGTATATAATTATAACAGCTGGCCGAATTCGATATATATTTTTTTTGAATTTTTATTTTTGATGTACAATTTTATTTAGTGACGGTTTTTTTTCTAAAACACAAAAGTTATGTGTCTCCTTTTCCTTACAAAAATTCTAAATATTTTTTTTTTGTTTTTATAATGTTAAGTTACATTTTTTTACAGTTGTCCTTATTAACAGCATGTTGTATTTTTTTCTCTGAATTAATGATTTTTTAACTCGACTAATTTTTAATTTTAAAGATTAATTTCATTTGAGTAATATTGAATTAATTTTCTTTCTTTTTCATTATAGTAGAGTTTGTGTTGGGTTTAGTTTTAATTTCTTTAGCTATACAGGGTGTCTTTATTTACTTGTCAATGATAAAAAAAATCTGTTTAGAGTGTATACTTTTTTAACTGTAGAAAAATTGGTATGTATATTTTCTTTTAAAAAATCGTGTAGGTATATGTTTTTTAATTAATAATTGTAATTAAATATGTGTTAATTTTAAGTACACAGCTTTATTTCATGCTGCACAATATGGTTGGTTTTATGTTTTATCTTTGTAAAGGCGCCATTTTTTTTGTATGTGACATTGACATCTCCTGTAATTTCTGTTTTTATGGCTTATTGAGAACTCAATGCTGTTTTGAATTATTTTTAAAGTAGTAGATGGTTGATATTGTGATGGACCAGAATGTGGTCCTGTATCCGATACTTCAGGTAGGGCATAATTATGGGAATTTGGAATTTGTGGCTTAGTTATTAGGGTCGTTTTCTACTTACAAAATCTTTTAAATATTGAAATTCAGCTAAAATGTTTTGTTACACCATTTTAAATCTTAAAGTCATACAGCATTGAGTTTAAAATCAGTCTGCTATTTATGTTCTGTTACTGTTCGCGTAGACGGTGATGTCTGACGTGCCTTGGACGTTCTAAAATCAATCTTGTTGCCTTTGCAATAAGTTTTATTTTTAAACTTTTCCAAGACAAGTCTAATGTAAAGCCTTTCTGTGTCATAATTTTCAGCTTATTTTGTATGTAATTCTTAAGATATATATGATATGAACTGTCTGCTTATCAATCTGTCTCGCTTATGATCTGAGCTCAAACAAAATGGCGGTATTTTGACATTTGTATGCAAAAATAGTCTTTAATTGCTCGGAAATAGGAATGGAAGTAGCGTAAAATACTGGTAGACAATATGAAAATTCTATGAACCTCTTTTTTAATTTCTTTTAATGTGAACTGTCTTCCTGTGTACTAACTTGTATGCCGAATAAAAAAGCAAGTGTGGGAGAGCCATGCTTCGGCACGAATGGGTCAGCTCGACCGGAGTGATACCACGGTTTTACAGAAAACCGGCGTGAAACAACCACAGCGTTGTGTTTCGCCGTGTGAGTGAGGTTACCGGAGGTCCAATCCTTCCCCTTCCCGGACCCTTCCCCAATCCCTAAATCTCCAAATCCCTAATCCCTAAAAGGTCGGCAACGCACTCGTAACTCCTCCGTTGCGGGTGTCCATGGGCGGCGTTGATTGCTTACCATCAGGTAATCCGTCTGCTCGTTTGCCGACGTTTGACGACATTAAAAAAAAAAAAAAACTCTTTACATTTGCAATAGTTAGGGCCCATTTGACAATGCCTGGTTACTATCAACCAGTTTGAAAAAGATCGCAGTTCATATAAGGAATGTGACAGAGAAAATTATGTTTTATTACATTCGTTTTAGTATACCAATACTTTCTTCTGCCACGGTAAAAAGCCTATGTGTTAATCCAGACTATAATCTATCTCTGTGCCAAATTTCATTCAGATACGCTTAGTAGTTTTTACGTGAGAGAGTTACAAATAACTCTCCAAATTTAAACTTAGCCGTTTATAATATCCATTACCGTGACATTTCCTTAAAAAGCAATCTTCGTTTCTATTAGCCCAGCAATGTATGTGATACAAATGTCAGTCGGCCATTTTGTTTCTGCCCCGCTTTGTACATCGCGTTTTATAATGCCGAGCTGAAATAAACCGGGATTTGGGACTTGGATATTGTAAATTCTATTAATATTTTGTTTTTCAGTGAAGGCATTTTTCAAGCTATGATAGTGTTTTTTTGAGATATTTACATACTTATATAAATTGGTAGTTGACTTGTCTTTTAAAGGCAATAATAATTTTCACAAATTGTTGTTCCGGGTCTGGGTGTCATGTGTACGTGAAATTGTATGTTTGTAACCGCACCCACAACACAGGTGAAAATCCTAGCGTGGGGCAATGTTTTTCTAAAAAAAGAAAATGAATAATTTTTTATGGCATAACTACTTAAAATACACATTGTCATTAATTAATTAAGTAACAAAATATGAGTTAGTAGGTGAACATTACAATACCCAGCCGGGGTTAAAGTATAAACGCGGCTTCGACCTGGAGCAGGAGAAGGAATGGGGGCGTTTTTAGTCAGTAAGAGTCTGACACTCTCTCTAGCCTCACCCAGGATGGATAAAGTCATTTGAGGACTTAAACTTCCTAAAAAAACATTGCATCTCTGTACCAAATTAATAGGTAACAGTCGAATTTGTCAATTCGAAAAGAGAATTAATTTTTACTATAATAAATACATAAACTGTTGGATATAAGGTATTTTAATGTCGAAATGTTTTGTCCCGATGACATCCATAATTGGATAGGCTTATTAATATAAGTATTTAGGGAAATTTGTTTTTACTAGTTCCCTGAAACATTCCCTGGAACATTATTCGTTTGGTACATTTAGATTTTTTTATTCAGATTCAATAAATTATGAAAATAAACAATAGAGTATTTGCTAAGCTTATTATTGGTTGTCTAACAAAACCTTCCATGCGTAGTTAAAAGAAAAAAACAAGTACCATAGCTTAAAGCCTTCACTGCAAACCAAATTGAATCTTAAAAAGCAAAAAAATAAAATTCAAAATCGTCAAATCTCATCAGTATGAAGATCACCAAGTCTATTCGCAAATCCGGTGAGTTCAGCTCGGTTCCCGCCAGGCTTGAGTCTGTACGGTATGGGGACAATTCCAGCTCGAGGACCAGTTTGGCAAGCAGTCGACAAAGTTTGACTTCCTATGCATCCCCCACGACGGAGAGGGCCGCGTCGCCGGAGCAAAAGAGGGCTTCGTTTGTTGAGGTTAGTACCTATCTAATTTTATGACTACCTTATGCCCGCGACTTGGTTCGCGTGGAATATCGACTTCCTGCAAATTTTAGATTTAAAAACTATGTCTGTACCAAATTTCACAGAAATAGGTTCAGTAGTTCAGGCGTGAAGAAAAGACAGACAGACAGAGTTACTTCCGCATTTATAATATTATTTTGGATTAAGGTATAAAAAAAGACTGATTACCTGATGGTAAGCAATCGGCGCCGCCGTTTAATTCGAAATGAGTTGACGTAAAAAGGCACATATTTTGTAACACTAAAGTTTATAAGGTATACTTATCTTAGTTGCTGAGTAAAGGCCTCTTTTTAAAGTTCGTTTTTCATAATTACCACGCTTGGCAGTTTGCTTGGCGATTGATATTACTAAAAGTTTATCTGGGGGCACGGTAGTGCTCCAGCCAAGTCTCGAGCAAAACAGGCACGACCGTACCTTTATTTTCTCGAAGCGTTTCCCGGCTATTTCACACCCCATCTTTTATAGATTCATACAAAGCTAGCTCAGCTTCAAAATTACATGACATTTTAACCAAAAGTTTACGAGTTATGACCGATTAAAGTTACAAAACTTTTTTGACCGATCATCAAAAATCTGAGGCACTTTTTAAAACTTTTTAAACTTGGCACCAAGATAGGTTCTAAGCTACATGTATAAAGAAAATTGTAAAAAATAATACAGGGCAAAGTTACTGTTTTTGTAATGTAAATAAAACTAATATTGACACAAAATATTTTTAATTTATCATTACAAATTAAGTTAAACAGGACTTGCCTTTATGCGATCTCGAAACTTTTTACGATGGAAGAATTGCGTAGAGAGACTTGGCTCTTTTTACATTGAATGTTTTTGGTGATATATGATATTTTTCCCTGTTCCTGATGTAATTTACGTCCAAATACTGCCAATGTTTGCATAATGTATGAATTTATTTAATCCTTTCAGACTGGTTTCGTGGAAACTCTGACTCCTCAGTACACTCCTGGCCAAAGCATCACGTCGCCGCAGCCAGCGTCGTCCAGCATGGAGGATAAGATCGCCAATATCCAGGCTCAGCAGGAGGTTAGTAGCAAAATCTATGTTACTCAATGGATTTACATATTTTAAGTTTGGCAAGTACCGATGTGACTTTTTCCGAGTTATATGTACTTACTACGATTATTAATACACCACTGACATACGGTAAAGGGAAACTAATTAATTATAAGTTTGAAATCGCCAATCCGCCTTGAGCAAGTGTGGTGATTATTCCTCAAACCTCCATGTGAGAAGGCCAAAAGGCTAGTTTTTTTCGTACATCCTGAGTTATTGCTGGTGGTGCAAACTGACAATTATTATTTTCTCTTCTCTTCTAGATAACAAATCTGAAGGCAGAAGTGGAAGATTTGAAGGAGAAGCTGGAGACTATAAAAGTCCGTCGAGCGGAAGACAGGGAGAAGCTCAGAGAATTGGAGAGAGTACGTCTTCAGCTGGACCAGGCTAATGAGTTCAAGGCCAAGATAATGGAGTCCCAGGCTCAGTTGCAGAGGGATCTGCAGAGGGCCAAGCAGGAGGTACGACAGTTTTGTTTGTTTCTTCTTTATAGACTACTAGTTTCTGCCAGGGTCTTCGCTAGCAGTACAAGGATTAAAAGGTTTAAGTTATTCACAGATATTGGTTTCTAGTACGTAAGAGTCTGTCACTCCCTCTTACCCTCGATGAGAGAATTCTTTTTATGATTTTCACCCCTCAAAAAGTAGCATTATTTATAACACTTTTACTAGGAAAATTTATGGAACAATTTTGCCACAACCTCCAAAACTCCTATGCATCAGGATCTACTAGTAGTTACAACCATGAAAACAATCGAAATGGCAGGCGTGATAGCGGCCAAATGTCTGCCCATCTATACTTCTATACTAATATTATAAAGAGGTAAAATTTGTAAGTTTGTAAGTTTGTACGTAGGGGGTAATCTTGAGTAATCTGAGTGCTATGGGCTATAAAACATCACGCTACGACTAAATTGAGCCGCAGCAGCGGGAAACCGCGTGAGAGTAGCTAGTTACAAGATAAAAAGAAACAATTCTGCTTTCCAGAGACATGATTAACTGCCTTGGGTCTCTTAACGAAATCAATCATAAGATAAAGAATATTAAATGAGAGGTAATCGAAAAAGTTTCTATTACCCTCGGTAAACTGTAACGCTGAACATGGCCGTCTGTCAGGTTTATCAGAGAGCGCAACTGCTACGTTTGATAAATATATAGTCCATCAGTCAGTTCTTGTACGGCGCGTAGCGTTCCGCGCGCGCCTCAAAGAGCCAATAGACCACCACAGTCGGGGCCCTAAAGGGCTGATGTTTAGCCGGGGCTGCGGGGTAAGCGTAATGAGGCACCGCGACCTCGGCCCAGAGCAGGAGAAGGAACGGGGGGGTTTTTAGTCAGTAAGAGTCTGACACTCTCTCTCGCCTTACCCTGGGCGGGAGAAGTCATTGGATGATTTTACCCTGACAAAAGAAAAAAAAATCAGTCAGTTCTTCAGAAACCCGTGGGAAGAGAAGAACAGACTGAAGAAGAAGAAGAAGGTATTCTCTCTCTAATACCACTCCTGATTCATAGGTACGCGAAGCTCAAGAAGCCCTGGAAACCCATAACGACGAAACAGCAGAGTTACAAGAGGCAGCAGAAATGGCAGCTCTTGACAAGGAGATGGCGGAAGAAAGGGCCGAAGCTCTTCAGATGGAACTGGAACAGTGCCGGGAGAAGCTGGAGGAAGCTACCCTCGATCTGCAGCTGATGAAGGCGGAAATGGAAGCCGGAGGGAATATACGTGAGTTTGATATTTTTTTTTGTCAACGATTAGTTCCTTGTTAGTGGCGCTGGTGGCGGTTTAGGAGCTGTTGGTTTTAAAAAAATATGCTCAAAGGGCTTTTTACTGAAATGGATGGTTTTCCTGTTCCCAAGTTTTTGTACGATTAACGACAGTTTTTAATATGCGAGATGATTATAGGACATTTTTGTACTATATTGAAAATAGGTGAAAAAGTATAAATATATTATGTTATGTATGATAGGAGATTGTGAATTTTCGACGTAATTACTTTTCCGGAGAGTATCATAGTTGTCTTTTAAAATTATGAAAAATAAGTATTTAAAGAAAAAAATGTTTTTTTTTGCTCTGTTGTTAATCGTACAAATTAATTAACTCTCATATATTATTATGTATTTTCATACATTTTTAAATAGTTGAAAATATATTTCAGATTTACCCATAGGTAATATAAAACTTACGAATATAGCTTATTATTGTTTAAAAACAAAACTATATTTTTTTTGGTTAATATGAGCAATAACTGGTTGATTCGCTATAACATATGTCATGGGAGAGCCAAGCTTCGGCACGAATGGGTTGGCTCGACCGGAGTGATACCACGGCCTCACAGAAAACCGGCGTGAATCAACCACAGCTTTGAGTCTCGCCGTGTGAGTGAGATTGCCGGAGGTCCAATCCCAGTTTATATTTAAGCAGACCCTTACTCACTGTAAAGGTCTAATTGAAATAAATGAATTTTGACTTTGAGTTTTACTTATATGTATAAGAACACTTATTAAATAGTGGAGAAATTTTGTATCAGCATTGCATTCGTTTAAAGCCGGGACGGATAACTAATTTTGAGTGTAACTTAGTTATAAATTATTATTATACAAAATGGCGTATAGCCCGTTGTTGTTCGTATTAACCGTCGAATGCAAAGACCTAACATTTCTTGATAAAACAGAGCAGGCACACACGTCTCTGGGATTATTTATCTATATATCTATCGCTTATTTTATTTATTTTAAAAAGTCACTTTTAGTTTTTATTCTTAATAACAAAGTTGGACTATCTTTAAAAGGGAAAATCGTGACTTTTTTATCTGCGTTCTGTTCCGCTCTGGAAATTAAGCGTTTCAAACAATGAAATAATGTTTAAGCCTTTGATTGCCGATAGAAAACTGTTGAAGGCAAATCCTCCGCTAACGAAGGTCACCGGCGATCCCCATGGCGTTTATCGTGTTAAATAAATTGCAAAAAAACAACTTTTTATTGAGTTATTGTTTTACTGTCAACCGAAAGTGGAAGTTTCATTGTTTAAATAAAAGTGACTTTAATTAGTTGGTTTATTTTGTCTATCTATTTATTTATTTATCCTTTTCCTCTATATTTATTTATAGAAGTACATACACGGCTTGTGCGTGTACGTATAAATATATTTTTTCAATTGCTTTTTTATTATTTTCTCTTCATTCATAATTAGGAATACATTTTTATTTAAATTTTTTATTTAACTTTGTTTATATTTTTTCCATTTAGTTTCATTTACATTTTTTTTGTGTTCAGAGCATGAACTTGGCACATTCACTGCTTCTTGTTATCTATGGGGATTATTGTTTAAAATGGCCGGCTTTAACACTATTTACACATTTATTTTTATTGGCGATAGTCGGCTGATATGTATTATTGCACTTATTTATAGTAATATGTTTACAAAAGTCTGAATCTACTGCCGAAATTCAGTCACAAAAAACCTAAATTCTTGTCTTATCTGTGCTGTCAGTCGACTTGTATAACAACTTTATGTTCCGCTGTTATAACAGCTGACACTATACAAATATATATTCTAAAATATATTTTCTTTCTTCACAAACAATATATAAATAATATAATTTTATAATATTGATATTGATCGCTCGTAAAAAAAAAAATTAACCAAGAAATATGATGAAAAACTTGGCTCTGTGCACTACCATGCATCCTATTTCAATTTTTTTTTATATCGTGAATGTGTTAAGTCTTTGTACCTATGTAAATGTTTGCATGTTTTTATTTCTTTGTTTGTTTGTTTGTTTTTTCGTGTATGTGTTTTTGTGAAACCTCGACGACGAATTGACTTTGTCCTTTTTACCTTCCCCCGTTTTGAATAGACTTTTTAAAGAGAAGTTTTTAGTCGTAAGTTTCTGTTGAGAACATTTGTTCATATTAAATTCTTGTCTTTTTTCTGAGGGGAATATAATCCTATTACTTCTCTAACCCAGCGTAAGAGAGTGTCAGACTCTTACTGACTAAAACCGCCCCCGTTCCTTCTCCTGCTTTAGGCCGAGGCCGCGGTACCTTATTGCGGTAGCCCTGTAATCCCGCCTGAACATCGGCCCTGTAGGGCCTCGTCTGGTATTCATCATATTTAAGACCTAAATCCTAGCTCTTCTTATCGTCAAATTATCAGATACACACACGAAGCGATTCGCCTCTAGTTTATATATTCGAACCACTTATGAGTGGAAATCTTTGCCTGGATGTCTTTGAAGCCCGAGTGAAGAGGTTGCTTATGGGCACGCGTACTATATCGTAAGCTGCATCATCACTAACCATCCACCAGACGAGAAAGTGTCTAAATGCAAATAAAAAAAAACAATTCCTATGTTTTCATTTTGATAGTTAGAAAAGCCAGCAAGGCAGTTTCTTAAGAAGTTTTTCTCATTAAGAAAAAATGGTGCCTCATAGTCTCTCTAATGTATAGTGTAATAATTAATTTCATAATTTATTAATCTCCTTAACCTTTTGGTTTTAAATGTTCCCTACTCGCTCCCCCAATTCATCTATTAATGAAACTTATGCCATTTTCGCATCTATTGCCACAAATATTGACCTTCACACAGGCAGACCGACATACAGACATAGTAATAGCAAGTTAATTCCCCCATTAGTCACATTAATCACCCAACTCCTCCACTATACTCGGAATTTTAATTCCATTCCAGATTTGACAATTTCAGTGTTGCAACGTTATGACACGTAATAAATAGTGACGTTGCGAAATTATTCGATGTGACAATCGAATATTTCTGAATCGATTCCTCTCGTTTATAAATTTACTCTCGTAAACTAAGTTTATCAGGAAATAAAATATTTCTGAACTGATAATTTAGTTTTGACCATTAATTAACGATCTGAGACTTTTCTTTTGTAATTGTGTGTGAAATTAATAAAAAAGTGATCATGAAGGAACATGACAAATAAAACAAAAATTTTTATAAATTGTCGCCGTCATCGCTATCGCTATCGCTGTTACTTTAGTAACATTTATTATGAATTGTGTCTGCATATCTAGCTTACTCATTTTTTCCTCTTCTTTGACAACATGGGATACGCATTTAGACCATTCGGTAGCCGTAATTTTTTAATGCCTTCCTAAAACTGATTCACTGATTGTTTATCGATTTTTGTGTTCATCACTACACTGATATATGTGGTATCATTATTTCACAAAATGACAGTAGGTCATGTCAAATCAGGAATCGAATTAAAATTCTGACTATAGTCACAGTAGTCCCCAACTCCCCCATTAAACACGGACAGACAGACAGAGGTGCGATATAACAGTAGTTAGTAACGGCGTGTGTGCGTGGCGCTCTGACAGAGCACCCGTACGCAGAAGGGGGCGCCACTGGCTACGAGATGAGACAGCTGCAACAACAGAACGTGAGACTTCGAGACACGCTCGTGAGACTTCGAGACTTGTCGGCGCATGATAAGCATGAAATGCAAAAGATGCATAAGGTAAGATGGGTTAAGTTTTTTTCACAGTTTTTTAATAAAATCTCTTCATAGCGTACTCAGAATTTGACCTCGAGATTATGGGATTTCGGGAAAGTAAGAGAAGATAATTGTAGGGGAGCCAAGCTTCGGCATGAATAGGTCAGCTCGACCGGAGTGATACCACGGCCTCACAGAAAACCGGCGTGAAACAACCACATTGTTGTGTTTCGCCGTGTGAGTGAGGTTACCGGAGGCCCAATCCTTCCTCCTTACTCCATCCCTTCCCAATCCTTATATATATGAAATCCTTACTCCTAAAAGGCCGGTTACGAGCTCGTAACTCCTTTGGTGTTGCGGTTGTCCATGGGCGGCGCCGATTGCTTACCATCAGGTGATGCGTCTGCTCGATTGCTGACCTACCACATGAAAAACAAGGGTACAGCATTGAGTGAGGAGAAGAAGATATGAGGAAACCTAGTCTTATATTTTTCCATTTAATTTAAAATTGTTTTAATCTCGCAGACATACGGTGAACGCAAACAACCTTGCGGAAACCTGGACTTGTAATATAATTTCTAATTATAAGTTTGAAATCGCCAACACGCATTGAGCAAGCGCGGCGATCTATGCTCTAACCTTCTCTGTATGAGAAGAGGCATTTGTTCAGCAGTGGGCACTTATAGGCTGATGACGATGATGATGATGATGAAAGTTAATTAACTAAACCGTGTTTGAGTATTTTCCATGAAGTCCATCCACCATCTACCCTGGTCCTGCACAATACTAATACCCTCAAATAATCTTCCAGGACTTGGAACAATACAAATCGGAGATAGCAGAACTCAGTAGGACTAAAGAGAAGCTGTCTCTCAGAGTCGATGAGTTGGAGGCTCAGGTAGCTGACCTTCGGGAGCAGGTGGACGCTGCGCTTGGGGCAGAGGAAATGGTGGAACAGCTGGCTGAGAAGAAGATGGCTTTGGAAGACCAGGTTAGTGGAGATGTTATGTGGAATACTGTCAAATTCAATACTTTTATCCAATATTTTTTTAATTCTCTCACACACATTCTCTGGATTTCCACGAATAATTCGAGTCCAAAATTAACCAAATCGGTAAAGGCGTTGTTGAGTTACAACTTTGCAACAAATAGCGTGGCATTGATTTTTATATACATATGTACCAGCTGACCCGTTTTTGACTATTAAAAAATAAGGGTTCATCGTAGAAGGGTGAAAATTGAGGATTGTATGTATTTTTGTACGCTGTATCATATAAAAATGAAATTAAAAATTTTGTCTAAAAGATAAAAAAAAATTGGTGTGGACTCCCCCTAATATTTAGGGGAATGAAAAATAGATGTTGGCCGATTCTCATAGATACAGGATGAGCACAAAAAATTCATCAAAAGCGGTCAAGCTGTTTCGGAGGAGTATGGCAAAGAAAACTGTGACACGACAATTTTATACATTAGAAGAATATTAGATAGATTTTTTTGTAGCCTTTCTCGGGATCACATCACGATCAGTACCGGAATAATGAAAATCATATTTTGACATTTGTGACGAACGACATTAGGTTTAACGTTTAGTAGCAGAAGTATATCTATACTATGTATACTAATATTATAAAGAGGTAAAATTTGTAAGTTTGTATGTTTGTAAGTGTTTGAACAGCAGGGTTGAGGCATCAGTGATTTTATTCTCCAGTACTTCAATAATTCGTTTATTGATGTGATATGAATCGTTTATTTTAATTTAACAGTAATAGTATATGAAAAAAAATGTGACTCGACACAATGCTATGTATAGAGTGAAGTTCGAACAGATTTAAAAAATCCAAATTCGCGGCAAGCGTCATGCGTCTTCACACCATTCATTGTTCCTTATTATGCCAGTAGATGGCGTTGGCGGTAACAGTAAGTTTGTATGTAGGAGGTAATCTATGGAAACGATGGTCAGATTTCCAAAATTCTTTCACTGATAGATAGCTACAATATTCCTTAATGGCTATAAGACATCACGCTACCAGCCATACATTAAATGTCGCCGAGCAGCGGGTGAAACCGCGCGAGACTATCTAGTCTTGTATATATTTTTGGGTTTTCAAATACACTTCGTTTTATAAACCTTATAACCCTCCTCCAGGTGGAACAGTTAAAACAAGATGTCTCCGAGTTGGAAGCTTTGCAGGAGGTCCACGAACAGCTGGTGGAGTCCAACAGGGAACTGGAGATGGACCTTCGGGAGGAGTTGGAAATGGCACACGCTAATACTAGAGAGGTACGTTCTGGACGCGCGTGTTTTTTATTTATTTAAAAACTAGCTTTTGCCCGCGCATTTGTTCGCGTGACATAGTGACGTGCCGATTTTTGGTTTACAAAATTATCCTGTGACTTTTTGCGAGTTATACGTACTTTCTATGAATATTTAGACACCACTGACATACGGTGAAGGTAAACATCGTGAGGAAACCTGGACTTATAATTTCTGATTATAAGTTTAAAATAGCCAACCCGCATTGAGCAAGTGTGGTGATTAATGCTCAAACCTTCTCCATTATGGGAATCATCCCATAAGTGCCCACTGCTGAGAAAAGGCCTCCTCTAATCAACATCAGTTGATGATGAATGAACTAGTTTGCTGATGACATATTTTCTTTCCAGGCCATAAGAGAAAGAGAAGCAGCCTTGGAAACCATCATGGATCGAGACTCGACGATCCTCAAGTTCAGGGAGCTAGTTCAGAAGATGACTGAACAGTACAACGAGACCAGGGCGCAGCTCGAGTCCAAACAGGGTAAGCAGATATGCACAGCGATCACCATTAGTCGGAAATCGATCTGCCAAGTGTGGTGATTATGGTGTAACGTTTTTTCCATAATCCCCACACTTGGCAGAATTACTTTTTTGACTGCGTCGTTGACGCAGTGGCTCGGGTAACTGGCTGCTGCAACCTGTAGGTTCGATTCCCGCACGGAACAGCACTTTGTGTGATTCACAAATTGTTGTTTTGGATCTGGGTGTGATGTGTATGTGAATTTGTATGTCTGTAAACGCATCCTTGACACAGGAAAAAACTTTTTTTATAAGAAAGAAGAAATTCGTTCCCGAAATAATGAAGTAGCAATTGTGAAACTGTTCTTTAGTTTAAAATTATAAGTACTAATGACCTTGGATACTAAGCGATTTAGGGCTGATTTTTCAATGGTTAGATATCTGGGGAGTAAATTATGATGCTGTCGCGTCACAATGTTTGTATAAGACAGTGACAGCAACAATTTTTTTCCTCAGATAACATTTATTTGACTATTGAAAAATCAGACCTAAGTGATCTTAACACACATTTTTGTATTTAACTTAGCTTAAGTTTCTGCACTGATTGGCGTCATGCGATGGTGTCGGCCATCGCTGAAAATCAGCGTCGCGACACTGTCTCTTATGGGGTCGCTGCATAATGCTGAGCGAGGACCATTTCGCGTTCTTGGACGCATATTTTTCTCCTACCGTCTACTTTTGTTATATTGTAGTATAATTCTTATTGTATTTTTATTTTTACCTTTAATTTTATTATTGTTCGTTTTGTGTCTTTTATGCATCCCAGACGCGAATAAATACTTTTTGTTTGTTTGTTTATCTTAAGTTCGTTCAGTGTTCGAGGTTATAAGTATTAATATTCCGATTTGTGATTCCATTAGCTGTGTAGTATACGAGAAAAATATTTTTTCAGTACATTCTAGTACTTTTTTCAGGCTCACCAGCCCCATCAGAACAGGAGTCCACTCCGGAACCAGTCTCCCGGACCTCACCGCCAATGGACCTCGGTTCCCTGGTCCACGCGTCCAGGGCTTCGACAAGGTCTATTGACCTTCAGCTCAGGGCTTTAGACCTGACTCAAGCGAGGGCTAGAGCTGATATGTTGGCTGCTTGCTTGCCTGACCACTTTATGGCGACTTCTGGTAAGTCGACATAGTTTTTTAATAGGTTTTGCATAATCGCCACACTTGGCGAATGACTTGGGGATTGCAGACAGGTCACTGCAAAATTCTGGCCTCCATTTCGTATGGTAAATTAATTGTAATATTTGTCTATAGGTGATCATGACGCGATTCTGCTGATACTCTTACTGCAAAGATTAAACACGAAGGCAGACATCATTCTTGGACAAATCAGGGAGAAGTAAGTTTATTTTAAATTTTTTTTTATCACTATTTGACTACCATAAGTGTGGGAGAGCCATGCTTCGGCACGAATGGGTCGGCTCGACCGGAGTGATACCACGGCCTTACAGAAAACCGGCGTGAAATAACAGACACAGCGTTGTGTTTCGCTGTTAGGGGAAGGATTGGGCCTCCGGTTACCTCATTCACACGGTAAAACACAACTCTCTGGTTGTTTCACGCCGATTTTCTGTGAGGCCGTGGTATCACTCCGGTCGAGCTGACCCATACGTGCCGAAGCATGGCTCTCCCAAACAAAGATTGTGTATAAAGACAATTCTCCATCTCTTTCTAGGTTCCCACCAGTGAACGTGTGGGACAGAGAGGTCGTGACTAAGACTCATACCGCAGTTCAGTACAGCTTCCGCTGCCAACTAGAATACCAGCTCCATATGATACAGGTAAGATAATACGGTATTTGAAAAACTAGTCAAATTCAATACTTTTATGAAAAATGTCAAATACGTAACTGTCCTATTAATATGGTATGGAAAACTGAAATGTGACGTCATAATATTTTTGGGTGAAACAGCATAGGTGTCCATGAATTACGTGAGATTTTTAAGGGGGGAGAAGGTCGACTCAAACCCTCATCAAATCTTACATTAGCGAGAGGGGAAATTAAAGCTTTCAGCAAATATCACGCAATTGACTGCACGCTTGGTGCAGTGGCTGGGTAACTAGCTGCCGTGCAATGTGTCAGGTTCGATTCCCGCACGGAACAACTCTTTGTGTGATTTACAAATTGTTGTTCCGGGTCTGGGTGTGATGTGCATGTGAAATTGTATGTTTGGTAACGCACCCACGACACAGGAGAAAATCCCAAAGTGGGGCAATGTTTTTTTTTTAAAAAATGATTTTCTCATTGAGACAAACAAAATATACTTTTTTGGTCCATTTAATCAAGATTGTACAAGCTAAAGACCCCTACTTTTTTCTTAATATGTAACCAATACTTATCTAAATTTAATTATATCGTCAAATCCATCAATGATCAATGTAGTACGATTATTTTTGTAAATAATTATTTTTGACCTAGGTAACTACCCAATTGTCTTTTTAATATAATAATAGTAATAAAATTTCAATTTCTATCAGTGCGTAGTATGTATGTGGACGGCGGCATTGGACAGTTGTCCGCCGGAACTATTGCTCCGCGCGGCGTCCGCCCTCCCTGACGCGGCGCAGCAAGAACGGGCCTTAGATGCCCTCACACAGCTGCTCAAGTCCAACGAACTGGATGAGAACTGCGCCCTGGATGGTACGTATACTTCGAGAGACGATTTCTGGCCACCGTAAGCGTGGACGGCAAGTAAGGGTAACTCGCCGCCCGACCAGAACCAGACCCGAGCGTACGGCGCGTAGCGTTCCGCGCGCGCCTCAAAGAGCCAATAGACCACCACAGACGGGGCCCTATAGGGCTGATGTTTAGCCAGGGTCGCGGGACAAGCGCAATGAAGCACCGCGACCTCGGCTATCGGCAGGAGAAGGAACGGTAGGTTTTTAGTCAGTAAGAGTCTGTTTCACGCCGATTTTCTGTGAGTTCGTGGTATCACTCCGGTTGAGCCGACCTATTCGTGCCGAGGCATGGCTCTCCCATACTTATACCTACTTACTATTTAGTTACAATGAAAAAAAAAACAAGACATCCTAATTAATTACACTTTATTTCAGGTGTCGAGCGTGTATGGACGTATTTAACGGCCATGTGGGGAGCCCTAGGGCTGGGCGTGGTGACGGAAGCCCAGGTGGCTCGAGAACCTTTACTCCACGCCTGCAGCGCTCTGGATGCCCTCGCCAGGGCTTTGCATGCTGACGCATCCGCGCTCACGCATATCCTACAGGTAAGATGACTTAAAGGATCTTCTAGCATTTCTAGCAATCTGTATGACAGTTGGCGCGGTGGCTTGGCAACTGGGTATTTGCCAATTAGTTTCAAATTGCTAAAAAAACCTAGAACTTAAATTGAAGCCACATACCACCTCACTTGATGTGGGGCGACCCCCAAGCAAGGCATAGATACGGCATCATGTTATGCCGAAATAGTACCGATTCAAACACCATTTTTAACTTGCAAAAAAAGTATGCAAATTCGGCCGACATTACCCTGAATTATATAGAACTCGACGAGTTCACTCTCACACTCACTCAATCTAACAGTCATACTCACTTACACTTACTTAACACTCACACTAACACTCACTCCCTCTCACTTACACTTACACTCACACTCACACTCACTTTCACACTCACAGTCACACTCACACTCATTCTCACACTCACACTCTCTTTCACACTCACAATTGCACTTACGCTAATTCTCACATTCACACTCACTTTCACACTAACACTCTCTTTCACACTCACATTCACACTCACAATTACACTTACAGTCACTAACTCTCACATTCACTCTCACTTTCAAACTCTCACACTTGCACTCACTCTCAAACTCACACTCGCATTCACACACACTTTAACTTTCACATTCACACTCACTCGCACATTCAATCTCACTCTCACATTCACTCTCACTCTCACACTCATACTCACACTCTCTGACACTCAAACTCACTCTCACTCTCACACTTACACGCACACTCACACTCACTTTCACCCTCACTTTCACACTCACCTTCACACTCACTTTCAAACTCACACTCACAATCACTTTGACAATCACACTAACACTCACACTCGCAGTCACACTTACACTCACTCTCACACTCACACTCACACTCTCACTCTCAATCACACCCACTCTCACTCTCACATTCACAGTCACATTCGCACTCGCACTCACACTCACAATCACTTTGACAATCACACTAACACTCACACTCGCAGTCACACTTACTCTCACCCTCACACTCACACTCACACTCACTCTCACACTCACACTCACTCTCACTTTCACACTCACTTTCACACTCACCTTCATTCTCACTCTCACTCTCACTCTCACTCTCATTCTCACTCTCACTCTCACGCTCACTCTCACTATCACTCTCAATCACACACACTCTCACTCTCACTCTCGCTCTCACCCACTCTCACATTCACAGTCACATTCGCACTCGCAATCACACTCACTCTCACTCTCACTTTCACTCTCGCTCTCACTCTCAATCACACCCACTCTCACTTTCACTATCACTCTCACTCTCTCTCACTCACCCTCACACTCACACTCACTTTCACACTCACCTTCACACTCACCTTCACCCTCACTTTTCAAACTCACACTCACACTCACACTCACTCTCACACTCACACTCACTCTCACACTCACTCTCACACTCACTTTCACACTCACTTTCACACTCACTCTCACACTCACTTTCACACTCACTCTCACACTCACTTTCACATTCACTTTCACACTCACTCTCACACTCACTTTCACACTCACTCTCACTCTCACACTTACACTCACTCCCACACTCACTCTCACTCTCACTCTCACACTCACAATCACTTTGACAATCACACTCACTCTCACACTCGCACTCACACTCACAGTCACAGTTACATTCACACTCACATTCACACTCATTCTCACACTCGCTCTCACACTCACTCTCACACTCACTTTCACTTTCACACTCACACTCACAATCACTTTGACAATCACACTCACTCTCACACTCGCACTCACACTCACAGTCACAGTTACATTCACACTCACATTCACACTCATTCTCACACTCGCTCTCACACTCACAATCACTTTGACAATCACACTCACACTCGCACTTACACTCACACTCACTCTCACACTCACATTCAAACTCACACTCACACTCAATCTCACACTCACACTCACTCTCACACTTACAGTCACAGTCACACTCACACTCACATTCACACATAAAATCATAAAATTGGTGCGCGAACGCGCGTTTCGCTTCGGGTTTGATGAATTAACGATATATAGTGAATGTCTTCGGGTATTAAGTCCGCCTTTGTACCCAGAATGTACATAAAGTACAGTTTTGTATTGTTGTTTCATTTTGTCACTTAAAGTGTCTTATGTCTCTTACATATTTCTGTTAAGCCTTTCGAAGGACTACAGGAAGAGATTTCGTATAGGAATATGGCAGTACCTATGTACACTCACTCTCACTCACAGTCACAGTCACATTCACACTCAAATTCACACTTTCTTTCACACTTACTCTCACACTCACTCTCACATTCACATTCAAATTCACACTTTCTTTCACACTTACTCTCACACTCACTCTCACACTCACAGTCACAGTCACACTCACACAATCACGCTAACACTCAAACTCACACTCACACTCAATCTCGCTTCTCACACTTACACTCACACTCACATTCACACACACACTCGAGTGAGTGTGCAAACTCACAGTCACAGTCACAGTCACTTTCACACTACAGACTACAGGAAGAGATTTCGTATAGGAATATCAGGCAGTACCTATGTACCTCTCTTTCTGTATTTGCTTTCATATTTACTGAATGTGCGATGTGCGTAAGTCCAAATCAAAACTAATATTATAAATGCGAAAGTCTGTCTGTCTGTCCGTCTTTTCTTCACGCCTAAACAACTGAACCAATATCTTTGATCAAGTATCAAAGATATTGGTTCAGTTGTTTAGTACAGAAATAGTTTGGAACTCGAGAAAGGACATAGGATAGTTTTTATCCCGAATCCTACGGTAGCGGGAAATTCACAAACATCCTGCGACATCGGGAACTATGTGGGTAAAACCAAAAATCTGCAGGAACTAAAACAAAAGTCACTATTTAACGCGAACGAAGTCGCGGACAAGAGCTATTAATAAATAATTTGTGTGAATGTGAGTGTGTGTTATACTGAAAAAGTTAATTAATAAATGTTAATGACATCCCCCCTTTTCTCCCCCCCCCAGCAATCGGACCGTCAACAAGAGCTAGGCGTCCTCCACGAGGCCGTATGCGCGTCCAGCGCGACCCTACAGCAACAGCTCAAGTCGGTCAGGCGCCGTCTGCCCCCTGGAGTCAAGCTGCACGCTGTGCCCCTGGATCCTCAGGTAATTATCACTATTCTCCACAAAAGAACTGTTCAATAAATATATATTTTGTTTTATGGTGAACATCATGTCGTGGTGGCCCGGAGGTTAAGGAGCCCGCTTCTCATGCATGAGGGTGTGGGTTCGAAACCTGGCAAGTACCAATGTGCCCTTTTCAGAGATATTTGTACTTTCTATGATTATTTAGACACCACTGACATACGGTGAAGGAAAACATCGTGAGGAAGCCTGGACTTATAATTTCTAATTATAAGTTTGAAATCGCCAACCCGCATTGAGTAAGCGTGGTGATTAATGCTCTAACCTTCTCCGTGTGAGAAGAGGCATTTGCTCAGCAGTGGACACTTATAGGCTGATGATGATGATGATGATGATTAGCAAATGGATTACCTGATGGTAAGCAATTTACGCCGACCATGGATGTCAATAACGGAGGAGTTGAGAGTATGTTGCCGTTCGTTTAGGGGGCTTTGGAGATTTAGGGATTGGGGAAGGGAGGGATTGGGCCTCTGGTAACATCCCTTACACGGCGAAACGAAATCGTTTCACGCCGGTTTTTTTCTTCACTTTCACTTGATTCAGAAAGTGGTTTTCCTAGGCAAGGTTCGTATTGTTAGGAGTTTTTTTTCCCTGGAGGTCTGACCGCCGGTGGAACAAAATTTTTAATATTTTATTTTTAAGAAATATTTAAAAATGTTAAGTTTAATTGACTGAAATGACTGCACGGTTGGGGCGGTGGCTGGGCAACGGCAACTGGCTGCCGCGCAACATGTCGCGGGTTCGATTCCCGAACGTAACAACACTTTTTGTGATCCAGAAAGTGTTGTTCCGAGTCTGGGTGTGATGTGTATGTGAATTTGTATGTTTGTAAACGCATACACGACACAGGAGAAAGTCCTAGTGTGGGTTTATTTAAAAAATAAATATTTGTTTAAGTACCTATACGTTTAATAAACATGATAATATATATTTTGCAGTTAGTGGAACGTCTCCGCGGCGAGTGCGCGAGCTCGCTATGGCGTTGTTCCCGCGCGACGTGGCTGGCGGCGCGCGCCGCCTGCGCCTGCGCAGCGACGGCGGGCGAGCGAGCCGACGGCGCGCCGCTACCTCACGCCGCGCTACACACGCTCTGGGCCGCCGCCGTCGACAAAATATACCAACAGGTTACTTTTTTTTATTTAATATGTCGCCAAACGACCAGACGGATTACCTGATGGTAAGCAATCAGCGCCGCCCATTTACACTCGCAACGGAGGAGCTACGATTGCGTTGCCGACCTTTTAGGGATTAGGGATTTGGAGATTTAGGGATTGGGGGAGGGGAAGGATTGGGCCTCCGGTAATCTCACTCACACGGCGAATCACAACGCTGTGGTTATTTCACGCCGGTTTTCTGTGAGGCCGTGGTATCACTCCGGTCGAGCCGACTCATTCGTGCCGAAGCATGGCTCTCCCACACTTACTTCATTCATACACAGGATTCATCAAACATGTTGCCTTTTTTGTCAGAGGAAAATTATCAAATGACTTCCCGAGTAAGAGAATGTCAAACTCTGACTAAAAACACCTCCGTTCCTTCTCCTGCTCTAAACCAAGGTCGTGGTGCCGATTGCGACTACCCTGCAACCGAAAAAGAATGTCAAATCATCAATTTCAATTAGACTACAACTGGCATTTTCGAACGTAAAGCAAAAAAAATATTTTCTTCATTTATTTATAACTAGCGGCCCGCCCCCGCTTCGCACGGGTCCAACTATCTCGCTATCAAAGGGAAATGTTTTCTTGATCTTCCCCTCTACTTTTCGAATATTTTCTTTGATAAGAACCTTCTCCTGACAATAACAAACACAACAAAAAAAGAATTAGCAAAATTGGTCCAGGCGTTGTTGAGTTATGCGCTTACCAACACATTTTGCGGTCCATTTTTATATATATAGATAATTTACTCTACCATTACAGGTTATTGTAACTTAATCTAATGCGATAGACAAAACACGAAAACAAAATCATTAAAAAAATAAACACAGATTAACAAAAATAGCAATAACACAACCTTATTTTTTAAAATACAAAAAAGATGCAATAGTTCTCTTGCGAATTCACTAAAGTGACATCAAAAGGTTTAACTTCAGACGTGTCTGTTAAAAAAAAAAGAATCAAAATAATTTATTCCAATTAGACCCATACGGCACTTTTTAACGCCAAACAAAATTTTAAGATATAAAGTGTCAGTCTGTCCGTCTGTCCTCTAGTGAAGCTATTTGCTCGTTCCAAAGTGTAGATTCCGATGGAAGATCGAAGAACGATCAAGAAACTCCATGGTTACTCTTTTGTTATAATGAGTACATTCACGTGCTTAAATATTAGTCACTAATTATCAGTTGCCATATATAGTCATTGTAAGCTTTTTTAATATGTTTTTTTATGTTCGGCAAACGAGCAGACGGATTACCAGATGGTAAGCAATCAGCGCCGCCCATGGACACCCTGCACGACTGCACAGTTGGCGCGGTGGCTGGGCAAATGGCTGCCGCGCAACGTGTCGCGGGTTCGATTCCCGCACGGAACAACTATTTGTGTGATCCACAAATTGTTGTTCTGGGTCTGGGTGTGGGTGGGTCATGTGTATGTGGAATTGTATGTTTGTAAACGCACCCACGACACAGGAGAAAATACTAGTGTGGGGCAACGTTTAAAAAAATAAATAAAAATAATAAAGTAAAAAATAAAAAAAATAAACCCGCAACGGAGGAGTTACCAGTGCGTTGCCGACCTTTTGAGAATTAGGGATTGGGGGCGGGGAAGGATTTTGCGTCCGGTAACCTCACTCACACGGCGAAACACAACGCTGTGGTTGTTTCACGCCGGTTTTCTGTGAGGCCGTGGTATCACTCCGGTCGAGCCGACACATTCGTGACTCTTCCACACTTATGTAGTTTTTATATCTGTCTTCCAGGACGACCACGGCCCCGTACGTACGATAAAGCACTCGCTGGCGGCCGTAGCGGCCGATGTCAACAAGTTGGCGACCTTCGCGCAAGACAAGGAATATGATATGATGTCACTGACTAACGTACAGTCGGAGAAGGTAACTATTTGTTCTTTCAATAGTAACTATTGTTAGTCAAACTAAATATATATCTATGTCACCGGAAAATAACAAGATCTGTAAGTTTATCAATTGACTAGGAAGTTTATAAACTTTCGTAAGATTCTAAACGGGAGATAAATTGTAATATTTTACGTCCACATTTTCGTAAATTGATAAACTTACTGAACTTACTCGTAAAATAATAAGTAAGCAGTAACTCGCGCGATCTGATTGGTTGGCTGTCACGTGTCACTTCTATGGACACAAGCATTGCCACTATGAACATTGACCAATCAGAGAGCAGTGTGTTATTTCACGTATTTAAAAGATCGTATATTTAAAAGAGTTTCTGTGATTGGTCGAACCATATAAAATCTTACGAATAGATATTCGTTAGTTTATAAATTTACCGTATGACGTCGGAAATTGATAAATTTACGAAAATGTGGACGTAAAATATTACAATCCCGTTTAGAATCTTACGAAAGTTTATAAACTTCCTAGTAAAATGATAAACTTACGGATCTTGTTATTTTCCGGTGACATCTATACTAATATTATAAAGAGGTAAAATTTGTAAGTTTGTATGTAGGAGGTAATCTTTGGAACCGCTGGTCGGATTCCCAAAATTCTTTCACTGATAGATAGATTAATGAAAGTATAGTTATTTTTCAATATTGTATTGTATTGAAACATCGAATTAATTTATTTTGACCCAGGAAACTACCCAATAGTACTATTATTTGTGTTTTGTTTCCTTTCACGGGATCACAGGATCCCGGACCTTTAGAAGGCGTACGAGGGGCCGAAGCCAACTCGCTGACGCCCTTTGAACAACTTTAATATAAGTGAAATGGGACATCAGCCGGCTATTATCCCTGTGTGCACTATGAAAGTGCACCCAAGGACAATCCCCGGTTGATGCAGGACTATTGCGAAATGTGCTAATAATTGAAAGGGTTATGAGTATGGGTTGCTATGGACTGGTGGATTTCATAACTATGGAAATACAATGGCCCCTGCCCCTGACCAATATTGATACATACGGATAAACAGGCAGGAGGTGACTGGCAAACTCAATTAATGGGCCCCTGATATGGTCGCTAGCATGTAGCGACATGGAGGCAACTATTATTATTTTTTTTTTATTTATCATATAAACATATAAATTACATTTTTAAATATTTCTTAAAAATAAATAATAAATAACATTTAAAAATATAAAAAATAGTGTCCCACCGGTATCGGGAATAGGGACTTAGCTACCGGCGGTCAGGGCTCCAGAGAAAGGAACCTCCCGGCAATACGAGCCGTGTCCAGAAGTACCACTTTCTGAATCAAGCCCTTGATCCAGCCACCTAACGAGAGCCTCCTAAGGTGTTGGTCGAGGCTCTTAGCTATTAAGCCATTGGCTGACACGACTATCGGTACAATGATAGCCGAATCCACTTTCCCAACTATTATTATTATGGTGTACAATAAAGTATGTTCATTCGTACGATGGTAGAAAGGACTAGGGGGAATTAGCTTAAAAATAAAAGGAATACTAAAACTGCTTCTGCCCCCCCTCCACAGCCGATTCCACCCGTGGTGATCAGAGCTCAGCTGGTGAAGAAGCAGCTGGAGGAAACGAAGAGCCTCACCATCAAGCTGGAGAACAAGGAGGCTGATATCAGGGAACTGAGGAAGGCTCTCAAGGTGAGATATATTATTTATATAATAGGGGACTTTCTTGTCTGTAGTCTAATTTAATATTATTTCTGAAATGTCCAATACTTACAATTTTCTATAGGTTTTGTTGCATTCTTTTTTTTTTTTTTTTTTTAAATAACGTTGCCACACTTTAGGATTTTCTCCTGTGTTGTGGGTGCATTTACAAACATACAATGTCACATATACATGACACCCAGACCCGAAACAACAATATGTGGATCACACAAAGTGTTGTTCCGTGCGGGAATCGAACCCGCGACACGTGGCACGGCAGCCAGTTGCCCAGCCACCGCACCAACCGTGCAGTCATCATGCATTAGGCACTCATTTGTTTTTTGCGGCTAATGGTATATTTTTAAATATAATTATATCTTTATATATAATTATACCATTCTATAATTTATCTAAGAAATACGAATATTAAGTACTAGCTTCAGCCCGGAGGTTCGCCCGCGTGGTACATACAGATAATAAAATATTAATAAATTAAAAATTTTAAAAATCCCCAACAAAAAATATAAACTACCTTTAAAAAGTATATAATACAAAAAAAACTTAATTGAAATCGGTTCATCCGTTCAGGAGCTATGATGCCACAGACAGACAGACAGACAGACACGTCAAACTTATAACACCCCTCTTTTTGCGTCGGGGCTTAAAAAGTATCCTATGTGTATCCAGAGTACCTACAAGTCTAGCCGTTTTTGCGACAAAGAATGTTTGTTAAACCTACATCTAGTATTTGACATATACAGGGTTTAAAAAGACATCTAACGAAGCCGTTAACTACGCATACTGCAGTTCTAACTAAGTAGCATTACGCTAAAATTATCACTGGGAAACGACTTTTATTTTTAGGTATCAAAAATAATAATAATTTTATTGCGCGCAATGTAAAGCAAACGGGCTTCGTGTCATTGTGTGCGAAGGTTCACAGCTTAGCATTAAAACGCTGTGATAAGTCGACGTTTTACTTCGCAACAACAAAACAATCCTGTAAAATAAAAATCCTACTGAGATGCACGATGTTTTTTGTGCGGGTCTGCATTTATTTATTACGTACATTACTGTTCGTAACTTCAAATGCCTAATTTATTTAGAAAAATTGAAAATTCAGGTAATGTTTGTTTGGAAAAAAGTTTTGTAATAATACTTAGAATTCGATTGCGCAAAAAAAAAAATTAAAAATGCATCTTTGACCTTCAATATCTCGAGAACCCGTGGAGTCCCAGCTATGGTCTTAAAGAAAAAAATGATCCAAATAATGGGTAGAATACGTGGCTTTCGGCTTCGTTAAGTGTCTTTTTACACCCTGTATTTATAAATGGAAATCTTAAAAATTCAGGCCAAACAAGAGGAGTTATCGGAGATGACGATACGCCGCGAGCTGGGCGAACGCAAGCTGTCTACAGCCGCGAGGGACGCCGAACTCAGGGCAGAGCAACTACAGCGCAGGCTGGAGGACGCTCATAATCAACTAAAGAGGTAACTTTAGCATCATCATCATCATCATCATCAGCCCATAAGTGCCCACTGCTGAACAAAAGCCTCTTCTCACACAGAGAAGGTTTGAGCATTAATCACCACGCTTGCTCAATTCGGGTTGGCGGTTTCAAACTTATAATTAGAAATTATAAGTCCAGGTTTCCTCACGATGTTTACCTTCACCGTATGTCAGTGGTGTCTAAATAATTATAGAAAGTACATATAACTCGGAAAAAGTCACATTGGTACTTGACAGGTTCGACCCACGCCCTCATGCACGAGAAGCGGGCTCTTTAACCTCCAGGCCACCACAACAATAGGATCTTTGATTGTAGCGTGTACAAAAGGAACTTTAGCATCAGTATCATAGAAAACTATTTCGTATTTTCTCCTCCTCAAATAATATCTTCTGATTTATTTCGTTGCGGGATCCAAGACAGTCATTCATGTCCCTGGGATGCGCCGGACTTCAGTGTTCCAGTGTTTTTATGGTTGTATCTACTGTAGATCCTGGTGCACAGGAGTTGCAGCAGTTCTAGCAAGAAGCGGAGGAATTGTCCCATTAAAAAAGGCCTATAAATGCCCACTGCTGAGCAAAGACCTCTTCTTACACGGAGAAGGTTCAACATTAACTTGCAAGCTCGCTCAAGGCGGATTGCAATCTCTGAATGGATTTAATAGGTCGGCTCGACCGGAGTAATACCACGGCCTCACAGAAAACTGGCGTGAAACAACCACAGCGTTGTGTTTCGCCGTGTGAGTGAGGTTACCGGAGGCCCAATCCTTTCCCTTGACTGCACGGTTGGCGCGGTGGCTGGGCAACGTATCGCGGGTTCGATTCCCGCACGGAACAACTTTGAGTGATCCACAGATTGTTGTTCCGGGTCTGGGTGTAATGTGCATGTGGAATTGTATGTTTGTAAACGCATCTATCTTTATATAAAAATGGATCGCAAAATGTGTTGGTAAGCGCATAACTCGACAACGCCTGGACCAATTTTGCTAATTCTTTTTGTTGTTGCGTTTGCTATTGTCAGGAGAAGGTTTTTATCAAGAAAATATTGGAAAAGTAGAGGGGAAGATTAGAAAAAAGTGACCCTTTGATAGCGAGATAGTTGGACTCGTGCGAAGCGGGGGCAGGCCGCTAGTTAAAAATAAAATACCCTTAACTCCATTTCTCATTTATAATATTAAGTGTGGATTAATCTTCTTGCAGAAAAGAGAAAGAATTCGAAGAGACGATGGACCATTTGCAGCAAGATATCGATTCTTTGGAGACTGAACGTGGCGCTCTCAGGGAGAAACTGAAGCTGTACGCCAAACGAGGGGGCACGCATCATGGTGAGCATTTTACTTATAATGAGGTTGTTTTTCTTAAAGAACTCATGGTGTAGTTTGTTAGATGGGATTTATATAATATTTTATTCCAAGTATTTAACGAAAATGGTGAGGTTACTTCGCAATTTCATCATTGTGTTATATGGCGTTTTTTTATAATCATCATCATCATCAGCCTATAAGTGCTTACTGTTAAGCAAAGGAACTTAGGAACTTCTCATACGGAAAAGGTTTATTCGAGATGTTCTCGTTCAACGTATGTCTAAATAATCATAGAAAGAAAGAAAAATACTTTATTTCACACTAAAAAACAAGTGACATGTTGGTATAGATAATTAAGACATTCTGTTAGTAAATATTAATGGATACAGGTTCATGTCCCAAGTCTCCCGTGGAATGGGACCAGTTCAGCATGTGCAAGCTGGTATTCTGCTGGCCCCTTGAGTGACTAGCGTACGAACCAGTCACCAAAATAAGACATTAACAATTAAAATTAAATTAATTATACTCGGACTTTTAATTCCATTCCAGATTTGACAATTTCAGTGTTGCAACGTTATGACATGTATTAAATAGTGACGTTGCGAAATTATTCGATGTGGAAATCGAATATTTCTGAATCGATTCCTCTCGTTTATAAATTTAACCTCGTAAACTAAGTTTATCAGGAAATAAAATATTTCTGATCCGATAATTTAGTTTTGACAAATTAATTAACGATCTGAGACTTTTCTTTTGTAATTGTGTGTGAAATAAATAAAAAATGTGATCATGAAGGAACATGACAAATAAAACAGAAATTTTATAAATTGTCGCCGTCATCGCTATCGCTATCGCTGTTACTTTCTGTAACATTTATTATAAATTGTGTCTGTGATTTTTATTGTCAATTAACATATCTAACTTACTAATTTTTTCCCCTATTTTGACAACATGAGATACGCATTTAGACCATTCGGTAGCCGTAATTTTTTGAATGCCTTCCTGAAACTTATTCACTTATTGTTTATCGATTTTTGTGTTCATCACTACACTGTTATATGTGGTATCATTATTTCACAAAATGACAATAGGTCATGTCAAATCAGGAATCGAATTAAAATTCTGACTATAGAACAAATATAATAATTTTACAAAATAAATAAAATATAAAAAGCACAATATTTTTTCCCTTACTTAATCGACAGAGAATAATAACTAAACTAAAAAAAAAGGAAAGTACATATAACTCAGAAAAAGTCACATTGGTACTTGTAAAGTTTCGAATCTGCGCCCATTTGCATGAAAAGCGGGTGACTTAATGACCACGCGACATTTTGTACATCCGTACTATTAAAAACTATTTTAGTTACTTAATTTTTACTGGACTTTGGATTTTGGTCGTTTTTAATTTAAAGAAAAAAATCTTCAGAAAATCAAGCGAGCAAGCGTAGTGATTAATGCTCAAACCTTCTCCGTGTGAGAAGCTCCTTTGCTTAACAGTGGGCACTTATAGGCTGATGATAGGGTGATTTAAATATGTTTTATTTATTGTTGGTTCTCAATAATTAAATATCGGTTTAAAAAATACATGTTTGTTTCTAGAATTGGCGTTTTTGAGTAAGTTGACTGAGTTTGTTGTCGGTTTCAAAGCTAGCGTTGTGAATGGAATTATATTAAAATAAAAAAGTTTATTTCAATTACAACAGGACCTTACAGAAAACCGGCGTGAAACAACCACAGCGTTGTGTTTCGCCGTGTGAGTGAGGTTATTGGAGACCCAATCCTCTCCCCCAATCCCTAAATCTCCAAATCCCCAAATCTCCAAATCTCTAATCCTCAAAAAGTCGGCAACGCACTCGTACCTCCTCTGTTGTTGCTGGTGCTGCTCTGATTGCTTACCTTCAGGTAATTCACCTGCCCGTTTGCCGATCTATCACATAAAAATAATTGAAATTATACACAAAAATATTTAAATAAAATTTCCTCTTTTTAACATTATGGATAAATAAAGAGTGTCAGTCTGTCCTCTAGTGAAGCTATTTGCTCGTACCAAAGTGTAGATTCCGATGGAGAAGAACGAGCAAGAAACTCCATGGTTACACTTTTTAAATCAGTTTCATGAACGAATTCTTTCTCGAATTATAATTCCATTCACAACTATTTTCGATATAATATTAATAAAAAAAAATAACGCTTTGATCGTCGAGTGTTTTAAATTTATAATAACAGAATGTTTTACATATATGAATATATTAACCAACTGTTTTGTTTTTTTTATATTTATTTTTTTTAGGGCTGATTTTTCAATGGTCAGATAAAAGTTACCTGGGGAATAATTATGATGCTGTCGCGTCACAATGTTTGTATAAGACAGTGACAGCAACAATTTTATTCATCAGATAACATTTATCTGATTATTGAAAAATCTGCCCTAAGTTGTTAATTGTGTAGTTTCCTAGGTCAAAAATAAATCAATTCGACGTTTCAATTCAATAAAATATTGAAAAATAACTATACTTTTATTCATCGATCGATCGATACACGTAAGTTTTAGATATTTTGTAACTAATTATTAAAAATAAGTAAGCTATTTGACGCAAAAATACTATGACGTCATAACTCAGTGTTTCATAGAAAAGTATCGTTTTTGACATTTGGATAAAAGTATTGAATTTGACTAGTTGGGAAACTACCGTATTATGTTGCGTTCATATCGGGTTCGAAACCCGATACCTATAATTATTTGTTCGTAGAATTTTCAGGTGTAATGGTAATGTGTTTTTTTCATTATTATATCTAGTATATAAGCTATTTAATAAGAAATTTTCTTCGTGTTTCTCAGTATGCTATAAGTACCGACTTCTGTCAATATATATAGGGCGTGATTTTATGTAATATATTTTTGTATGGTTTAGCGCTGACGCCGCCGCCAGTCCGAGATTACTCCAGTAAGATAACAGCTTCGATTCCATGCATGCGTTCCCTTTGCAAATTACAAATATTTTACTTTAGAACATCTAGTAGACTATTAACGTACGCAGCGCCATCTACATGACGTTATTGTGTACTTAATATGATTGAGAATGTTATTATAATAGTAGGTTTTTGATGATAATATTAAAATCGTGTTCAGACGAGACATGACAGGTTTTTTACATGGTAAAACATAATATTTGGTGCACTTTTCTAAGATAATTAGGCAAAAATTGTATTTCGTTCATTTTTGCCCACTTCTTTGAGGTTTAAAAAGGAGTTTTTATACAGGTGTCCGGTAAAGAATGGATAACCTTGCAATAACTTTAAGTATATCTTATGGCCATTCAAAAAATTACAAAAAAAAAAATTGTAAAAAACTTGCAAAAATAATTTATTATAGACAAATCGTGCAAAAATTATTTTTAAAGCAATGTTTATTCATCGTGGTTATGCAGTAATGTAATGAACGTAAATGTTAAAGGATCATTTTGTATTACCTCTAGCCCCAGTTGTTTTACTTCAAGACATAATAATTTAGGTACTACCTATGATACTTTCCTTTTCGTTGTTTTTTCTGAATGGCCAAAGGGTATACTAAAAGGCTTTTCAAGGTTATACATTCTTTACCGGACACCCTGTATATAAGTATGTACAGTCCAGAAATTGACTTATGAATGGTTTGTTCTTTTATATACCATAGAGAATTGATCAAAGTCATAGTTAAAAGATATTGATTTTAATTATTCCTTAAAAGGGTAGTTTCAGTGAAGCTAAGCGCTCGTTCCAAATCGTATTTTCGTATGCAGAAGAACGAGAAAGTTACTCATATATGCACACAGGCCGGGGTTGCGGGGTAAGCGCGATAAGGCACCGCGGTTTTGGCTTAGAGTTTGAGAAGGACCGAGTTTTTTTAGTCAGTAAGAGTCTGACACTCCCTCTCGCTTTACCTTGGGCGGGAGAAGTCATTTGATGATTTTCCCCTCACAAAAAAGGCCGATATTAAGTGTTATACTTAATTTAAACCAAGAAGATGTGTTCCTACCTTTAATTTTATAAATAATAATAATTGGCATAAATATTTTTTTCAAAATTTTTAATTGTTAAATCAATATTTTTAGCCTTACCTACCCCGGTTGCAGCACCTAAAGAGACTATGCGTAAGACATGTGATTTTAGCGTGGGCTTTTATACTTTTTTTCTTTTATATAGTATATAAGGCGATATTTATTTATATACTTAGCAAAGAACAGCTGAGCTCTTGATAGTACTAAAAATAATAAACAACTTTTCTAAATACTCGCTTCCTTCCCCTCAAACGCGACGCATTTGCGATTCCTCTGGACGTGTCCATGTGCGGCCTTAACTGCTTACCATCAGGTGATTCTACAGCTCGTTTACCAGCCTTTGCCAAACAAATATAGACAGGATGTCATAAATAAAGCATGCTTCGGCATGAATGGGTCCGCTCGACCAGAGTATAACCACGGCTTCACAGAAAACTGGCGTGAAACAACCTCAGTGTTGTGTTTCGCTGTGTGAGTAAGGTTAACCCTCAAATCTCTTAACCCTAAAAGGTCGACAACGCACTTGTAACTACTTGTTGTGTGCATAGACGGTGCCAAATGCTTACCATCAGGGAAACAATGTATTCGTTTGCCGTCCTATCACATAAAAAAACTTATTTATGGTTGGTTTTTAGTAAAAAAAGTCATTTCATAACCCCCTTCCTCAAAAATAGGCACCAGTTTTATTGTCACAATGGATTATTACAACTGGCAGGAAAAAATGTTTTTTTTTTTATGTATATCTAAGTTGTTTAAGTTCTAAGCTGTTCTTTGTTAATTAAATATGATTTTATGTATTAAAGTTTTTTTAGCTCTCATTCTATGTATAGTGTTAGGTTTCATATTTTTGAGTCTGAATCTGGTGTTTTTCATAATTTTCATTAATACTAACGTTCTTTATTTAAATTCACGAATGGGTCGACTCGATCAGAGTGATACTACGGCCGGCCTAGATTGCTTAAAATCAGGTGGTTCTGCTCAAAATTTGCCATTCTATGAAAAAAAAAATTATGCGCTTCGGCTCAAATGGTTCGATTAGAATGTCAAAAATAAATGGCGTATGTTAAAAAATAATACATGCTTCAGCACAAAAGGGTTCGCTAAACCGGAGTGAAACCACGGCCTCATAGAAAACCGGCGTGAAATAACCACAGCGTTGTGTTTCGCCGTGTGTGAGGTTACCGGAGGCCCAATCCTTCCCCTCCCTAAATCCCCAAAACCCTCATACCTAAAAGGTCGGCAACGCATTCCTAACTCCTCCGTTGTTATCTCTGCTGATTACTTATTATCAAGTAATCAGTATGCTCGTTTGCGATCCAATTACACTAAAAATCCTTATTCCATGGGCGTAATTAAGAAGCGCCTCAACTACCTAGTTCGTTTGATCGTTTGACGGTCTACCTTATAAAAAACATTCCTTTTTTTGGCGCAAACGTTGGACACATATAAGGATTTATTTTCATAGCTACTTCTAATTAATAATAATTAATTAATTTTAACTATACCACAAAATTCTTACTCAACTAACAAAGGATTCAGATTCAGAAATATATTTGAAAATTCAATTGTTTTTATGTAAAGGGAATGCGTTATCATGCTTCGATAATTAATTAAATGTGACTAATTGTTTTTATTTTTTATTTTTTACGTGTATAATGTTTTTGCATGATCGTGTATGGATGTTGTCTTGTACTTTTAATATGTTAATGAGTTGATTATTTTGCGCAAACTTTTATTTTTTAAATAAAGTGGTTTTAAGTCGATTTGTTTGATCTAAAATTGTCATAGTGGATGCGCAACTCGATATTTTTTGTTGCGCAAACTTGCGCAAAAAAGTGATAAAGATATGCGTAACTATTATAGTTGTTTCGCACTTTTGTAACTGTATTTTTATGATTGGTATCAAAAAAAGTAGTTTAATTTTGTTGCCGAAACTTTTTTTATATTTAAATTGGTAATAAAACGAATGCGTAACTAAATTTCAAGCTGCGCATAAGCTATATATTTTTGCGCAAAAAAAAAAGTTAGTGCAAATTCACATCAACTCATTGCGCCAAAGCTTTATTTTAATTTTAACAATTATTGACCATAGCTTTTTCATACAACATGAATGCTGTTCAGTGTATTAAAACCATACAATACAGGGATGGAAGATCGACCTGTTTAAAAGTATTTTCGCTTTTATTAGAGTCAATAATTTCATATACCCAATCCTTTTCCGCCCCCAATCCCTCCCCCAATCCCTAAATCTCCAAATCCCTAATCCCTAAAAGGTCGGCAACGCACTCGTAACTCCTCCGTTGCGGGTGTCCATGGGTGGCGCTGATTGCTTACCATCAGGTAATCCGTCTGCTCGTTTGCCGACCAATTACATAAAGAAAAATATATAGATATATGTAGACACACTTAGTATTTATCGCCACGCTTGCTCAAGGCGGATAGGCGATTTCAAACTTATATTAATTAGGAATTATAAGTCCTGGTTTCCTCACGATGTTGTCTTTCACAGTATGTCTGTGGTGTCTTAATGAACTTAGAAAGTACTTGTAACACAGAAAATATAATTGATTGGTTTTTGCCAGGTTTCGAAATTCCCATGCATGAGAAGGCACCACGACATTGCTTTATATTATTATTAAAAACGTCTTAATACATTTCAAAGAATAGTGTATGCATTCTTTATAATGTACACTCAAAAGACAAAAATCATTTATTGCAATAAGACCCCTACAGGCACTTTTGAACGTCAAACAAAATTTTGAAGATATAGTGTCAGTCTGTCGATCAGTCCTCTTAGTGAAGCTATTTGCTCGTTCCAAAGTGTAGATTCCTCTAGAGAAGAACGAGCAAGAAACTCCATGGTTACTCTTTTTAAATCAGTTTCACATACAGATTACTTATACAAACAGTTGGTTCAATTATTTGAGAATAGTGTGTGAACACTAATATTTATTAAGAGAAATATAAAAAATAACATATAACCTGACTGAAAAACTCAATAAAAATGCACATAATTTTAGAAACTGTTCGGTCTGTTATATTCATAATTAGTTCGCGGTTATTGCAAATGCATGCATTTTTGATTACTATAAAAATACTTGCAACCGCGTGGCGGCTTCACCCCCGGTTTCCGAAAGGCCGATCAATGTTAAAATCAATTTAATCTCTTGTCAAGTCATCTGATTGGTTGACTGAATTATCAACAACCAATCAGATGACTTGACAAGAGATTTAACAGGAGATTAGTTAATTTTAGCGTTGACAAGCCTTTCAGAAACCAGGTGTCAGTCTACCGGTGCCGTCACATTGTCAATATCTTATCGAGTTTAAGACAATCCTTTAGTCTAATCCTTGTAAAGTTTGAGTTCTTTTCATTAAAGTAGTGTTAGCAGTATCAGTGGTTTTTTTTTAAAAAGGCTACCACCAGCCGCTTCCTAACAGGTCGATTTTCCATTCATTGTATCCATCTTACCATCTTCTGGAATATTCCAATAGCTAATGTTAAATTTCTGGTATAGAGGAAACACCGGTGAAGGTGACTGCCGGCATCGCCGCGGGAGAAGTCAACGAGGCTCTGCAGCATCAAATCAAGGTTTTGAGCTGGTAAGTCTTCAGTTCAATGGCATTTTTTATTTTTCATAGAATAAGTCAACAAAAAAATCATCTTCAAATTGAGTAAGTAGTTATAATTATGACGGTCTTTGGTATAGTTTGTCCGTCTGGCAAAGCGAGCTACAAAGAGCCAATAGACCACCACAGACGGGGCCCTGTAGGGCTGATGTTCAGCCGGGGTTGCGGGGTAAGCGCAATGAGGCACCGCGACCTCGGCCCAGAGCAAGAGAAGGAACAGGGGGGTTTTTAGTCAGTAAGAGTCTGACACTCCCTCTCTTCTCATCCTAGGCGAGAGAAGTCATTTGATGATTTTCCCCTCACAAAAAAGCAATCAGCACCGCTTATGGACACTTGTAGTACCAAAAAAGTTACTTCAAGTGCGTTGCCGGCCTCTTGTAGGTTTTAAGGGATTTAAGGTTAAGGGAATTGAAGATGGGGAGAGGGAAGTATTGGGCCTCCGAAGTGAAACACAACGTAAGAGTTACTTCACGCCCGTTTTCTGTGAGGCCGTGGTATCACTCCGGTCGAGCCGACCCATTCGTATCGGAGTTCGCACACATCTATACTAATATTATAAAGAGGTAAAATTTGTAAGTTTGTAAGTTTATATGTAGAGGGTAATCGGCTTACCAAAATTCTTTCACTGATAGATAGCTACAATGTTCCCGAGTGCTATAGGCTATAAAACATCACGCTACGATCAAGTGAAGCCGAGCAGCGGGTGAACCGCGCGAGAGTAGCTAGTGTCTTAATATTTCGTTTTTTAATAAAGTGTCTGTGTTTACAGGACTGTCGAACGCGAACGCGCAGCCCGAGTATCGGCTTGTCGCAAGGCGGAGCGTGCAGCTTTAAGGGCGCTTCGCCCCCTGGAGCACCCTGCGTCCCCGGCCGCCACGGCGCGACGTCACGCCGCCGCCCAGTTGGAGAGAGACCTCGCTAAGTTGCAGACTGTAAGTATCTATTTAACACGGATTTCGGGAACGAAAGGTTCTACGAGGAAAAGAAGTTCCATTTCCATACATTGAAAATGAACAAACCCGTTTATTATCGTGTATATTTTTTTTTAAGTGTCTAAATCCATTAATTAGTATATGCTTTAATGTCCCCAACAATCCTACATACTCAAAATCTAGCGAAAAAAAACTTCATTTTTCACAAATTCCTCCGAAAGGCGAACGAAGGCCGGCTAGTTCAACGTAAGGCCGCTATCCAACTAGGCGTTTTACTAGCGTCGACGTCAACGTTGTGTTTGCGCAGCGTCGACGGCGCTTCGTCGTGTGGTAAACATTGACGTCCGTTGGATAGCGGCCTAAAATGTACGAGAAATGTAGGCGACATCCGAGATATTAATTTGAAAATCCGTTTGAACATCTTTTCCCGAAAGACCATCCCGAAAGGATGCCAATGGGGTAGTTTCCTAGGTCAAAAATAAATTAATTCGACGTTTCAATACAATAAAATATTGAAAAATAACTGTAGGTACTTTTATTCATCGATTGATACACTAAGTTTTAGATATTTTTTAGCTAATTATAAAGAAATAAGTAAGCTATTTGACGCAAAAATACTATGACGTCATAGCTCAGTTTTTCATACAAATGTCATAGAAAAGTTCAGTTTTGACATTTGGATAAAAGTATTGAATTTGACTAGTTGGAAACTACCGTATTAAATCGGTGTGCAAGTGCCTGCCTATCGATAAAAAAGTTATTAATACATATATCTAGTCAAATCCCATACGTTTCTCAAGCTGAGGAATCCACAGATTTTTTATAGTTTGTGTGTTAAAACGTTATGTTTTTTACGCATCAAATAGTATATTTATTTCTTTAAAATTGACTTAAATATTAAGAATTGTATGAATATCGTATAATCATTTATTAATGATTATCGAAAATTTTCGAAAACTGGCATAATTTTTTACTATCTAGATTTTGTCCGAATAGTGACTTCCTGCAGATTTTTGGTATAAAAACTATCCTATGTCCTTTTTCGAGTTCCATCAGAGTCAGAAAGAGTTGTTTTCACATTTATAATATTATTTTGGATTTTAAGTTTTAAGTACCTATACTGTAAAATCAATGAATGAGTCGTAAAAAATCCATATTGATGGATACGTTATCGCTTGAAATTTCTATGTTTAAAATATATGAACTTGCTTGTGGAATAATAGTTTTCTCTATCTAGCTTTACCGATAAACAGACTGACAGACTTATTCTCAAATCAAATCCGAGTTCCGAGTACCTATTTATGGTTTAGTTGGAATAAATGATTTTGACTTTGACTTTGACTATCTAAGTATCTACCTTAAAATATTAGCATAAACACAATCCGGTAGTTTCCAACAAGTCAAATTCAATACTTTTATCCAAATGTCAAAAACGATACTTTTCTATGAAATTAGTGTGAAAAACTGAGTCATGTCGTCATAGTTTTTTTACGTCAAATAACTTACTTATGTCTTAATAATTAGCTACAAATATCTAAAACTTAGTGTATCGATCGATCGATGATTAAAAATATAGTTGTTTTTCATTATTTTACATTCAGTCAACAAAGTATAGGGAATGAATGTTTTTTTTGTGGTTCCAAATTCGAATTTTAATTTTTTTTGTTGTTGTTAGATTGGCATAACTGTTTTCCATTTTGGCGCGGAATTTGAGTTGCATCTGTTATTTATATTAAAAACAGTGCTGTTTTTAGTTTTATAATATCTAGTGTGTATTGCGAATTTCATAATGGACAAAAACATCGAACAAAGAGTTTGTCTTAAATTTTGCATCGCCAATGAAATTTCGTGTTCGGAGGCACTCAAAATGTTACAGAAGGCTTACGGTGAATCGACTTTATCAAAAACACGTACTTATGAGTGGTACAAAGCGTTCAAAAGCGGTCGAGATGTGATGGAAGATTTGCCTCGTTCTGGTAGGCCATCAACGTTTGCAACTGAAGTTAACATCGCAAAAGTGAAGGAAATAGTGACTGAAAATCCTCATTCAAGTTTGAGAGAGATGGCCGCCGAACTTTCTGTATCTTACGAGTCGATCCGTACCATTTTAACAAATAATTTGGGTATGAAACGTGTTGCCGCTCGGCTAGTCCCAAAAGACCTGAATTTTCTTCAAAAACTTAATCGCATGAAAGTCGCTGAGGACATGCTAGAACGAGTCAATACCGACCCAACATTCATGAAACGCATTGTTACTGGTGACGAGACGTGGGTTGACTAGTTTGCATGTCAAACTCGTAAGTTTGACATGCAAACTAGTCAACAAGCTTCGGAATGGCGCCTTCCAACTGAACCAAAACCGAAAAAACCACGTCAAAGTCGATCAAAAGTCAAAGTCATGTTGACTGTTTTCTTTGACTATCGCGGTGTTGTGCACTCAGAATTCTTGCCCGAAGGTCAAACGGTAAATAAAGAATATTATTTGAGCGTTATGCGGCGTTTAAGTGAACAAATTCGACGAAAAAGGCCAGAAATGTGGAAAGAAAATTCTTGGATTTTGCATCACGATAATGCGCCTTCGCACAAGGCCATCATTGTAAACGATTTTTTGTCCAAACACTCAACAAACACCATCGAACAGCCACCATATTCACCAGATATGGCTCCAGCCGACTTCTTTCTTTTTCCCACACTCAAATTACCCCTTCGTGGCACCCGTTTTCAATCGTTAGAAGACATAAAGGAGAATTCGCGGCGAGCACTGAACTCAATTCCGGAAACAGCGTTTAAAAAAAGTTTCGATGATTGGATTATTCGTTGGCGTAAGTGTATCGTTTCTGAAGGAGCATACTTTGAAGGTGATAAAATAAATTTAGATGAATAACAAACATTTTGTGTATTATTGACTTTTTCCCGGTACTTTCTTGACAGAGTAGTATTGTATTGAAACATCGAATCAATTTATTTTTGACCAAAGAAACTACACAATTATACAGTTCTATATTATTATGTTTTTGTGTAAATTTTATGCTAATTTTCCCCTGTTCTTCAGGAATGGACGATGTTCGTGGCTCGGTCGGGTCTTGTAAAGTTCCCCTCGGAGCCCGGCCAGTATGCACACGCGTTGCAACTGCACAAGGACAGACAAAGGGAGCTCAGGAGGCAACTTGAGGTATGGTGTGAATTTTTTATCTGTGCAGATATTTTTGATCTAGGTTTTTTTTTGTTTTGTTAAAGTTATGTTTGGTCTGCAGTGGCCACTTATACGATGACGACGATGACGATGATGATGATTTTTTTTTTATTTAATTGGTCGGCCAACGTGCAGACGGATTACCTGATGGTAAGCAATCAGCGGTATAGAATAGGGGTTGTACAATCAGCTGGATGACCTAGACTATGCTGATGATCTGTGTCTGCTTAGCCATAAACATGCTGATATGCAAGCCAAACTGGACGACCTTCGGCTAGAGGCGGCAAAGGTTGGCCTTAAAATCAACTCAAGGAAGACCCACGAGATGCGCACCGGGAAAAACCAACAGTCCCTCACTCTTGATATGGAGCCAATCCAGTGTGTACAACAGTTTGCTTACCTGGGAAGCATTGTGTCGAAGGAGGGAGGAGCGGAAGAGGACTCTGCCGCTAGAGTGACCAAAGCACGGGCGACCTTTGCACAACTTCGACCCATATGGCGATCAAAGCTGACTCGTAGAGTCAAGCTTAAAATCTTCCGATCTAACGTCAAGTCCGTCTTACTCTATGGGTGCGAAACGTGGAAGGTAACAAAGGATATCACTCACTTAATCCAGGTCTTCGTCAACCGCTGCCTTCGGCAGATACTTGGCATTTTCTGGCCAGAGAAGATCTCGAACGAACGCTTGTGGGAGGCGTGCCGGGAAATGCCAATAGATAAGCAAATTACACGCCGAAAGTGGTCATGGATAGGGCACACCCTCAGGAGAGGTCCCACACACATACCAAGACAAGCTCTAGAGTGGACACCACAAGGCAGGCGAAAAGTTGGCCGTCCTAAGCAAACGTGGCGGCGCACAGTGGCGGCGGAAATAAGGAGGATAGGACTGTCCTGGTCCGAAATTAAGCACATAGCCCAAGATAGGTCCAAATGGAAAAATACTGTGGAAGCCCTCTGCCCCACCTAGGGGATATAGGAACTTAATATATAAGCAATCAGCGCCGCCCATGGACACCCGCAACGGAGGAGTTACGAGTGCGCTGCCGACCCTTTAGGGATTAGGGATTTGGAGATTTAGGGATTGAGGAGGGATTGGGGGCGGGGAACCTCCGGTAACCTCACTCACACGGCGAAACACAACGCTGTGGTTGTTTCACGCCGGTCTTCTGTGAGGCCGTGGTATTACTCCGGTCGACCCGACCCATTTGTGCCGAAGCATGGCTCTGTGTGTGTGTGTCATCGCCATCATCATCATGATGATGATGATGGCGATGATGATGATGATGATTGTCCACAGACTCGGCTAGCCGCGCTGCAAGCCGAGGTCCGCCAGCAGTTGCTGATCCACCGACCGTGGCGCTGCGTTGAGGCCGACTTCGCCGAGTTCCCGGCGCCTGAGCTCGCCGCGGTAAGTCCAATCTATATATTATAATATATTATATAAAAATTAATGCCACTTTTCGTTGTAATGTTATAACTTAACAACGACTTTACCGATTTGAGTAATTTTTATCTTGGATTATTTGTGGAAGTTCAGAGAAAGTTGTCCGTAGAAAAAATTAAAACAAAAACTTGAAAAAGTGTAATATCGAGATCCACGAAGGCGGTGTCGCAGGCGACCGCTAGTATATACTACTTAATACTAGCTCTTACACGCGGCTTCGATTCCGTCATTTGACTACCTACACTACGCTACCTACCCTACTCTACTCCGTCCTATCCTATGTCCTTCTCCTAGTTCTTAGCTACCTCCCAACCAATTCAGCCAAATCGGTTCAGCCGTTCTTAAGTTATAAATAAATAGTGTAACTAACACGACTTTCTTTTACATAATTATATAGATAACTCAGTCTAAACAAAAATATATTATTTTAATTACTTGTAAAATATATTTATATATTCATACACAGGTGCTATCGTCGAAATCTGTGGACATTGGTACAATCAAATATCCAGCGCCATCTACCGGACAGGCGGAAGACACGATCTTCGTGACTCCTGCGCAACTCGCCAAGTAAGTATTAATTCATCTATACTAATATTATAAAGAGGTAAAATTTGTGAGTTGGTATGTAGGGGGTAATCTTTGTAACCACTGGTCGGATTGATCGGCGGGCCGCTAGTAATTAATATAGATGTTATATATACAATTATATTATTAGTTTAACTATTCAAATATAATAACCTGAACCCTCTCCATCCAACAGGCTTCGCGAACTGGTCACCGAACTCCAATCGGATGACGTGAAGCTGGAACTTCTGCCACTGGACAACACCGTGTGTGCCGCATAAATTTGTGGGTAGTCTGAGAAAAACATATTAAGTTAGAGTGAGATGGAATATGTATGAGCGAGACGCAGCTATCTATTTATTATTGTTGAAATATTGTCGCACTTTTTCTGTATTGTTAATATAGACAGTTTTTCTTTTTAATTTTTTTGTTAAGGGATTATGTGTTGTGGCGTTATGGTGTTTAATTAGAAAAATAATAATTATTATTATAACGTAAGCCGGGTTGCCGGGTGTGTAAGAGCAATTACCGGAGGCCTAATCTTTTCCTACCCTATTCTCTCATCGCTCATCCCCCAATGCCCGATATCCCAATCTCCAATTTCTCAATCCCCAATGAATCTCCAATTTCCAAGTGGTAAGCAATCAGCGTAGCTCATGGCAAGGACGGAGGATTTAAGAATACATGCAGACCTTTTGGGGATTAGGGTTTTGGAGATTGGGGATGGATTGGAGAAGGGGTAGGTTGGGGCCTCCGGTATCCTCACTCACACGGCGAAACACAACACTTCAACATTTTAGTGATGTCATAAAACGGTAAAAAGAAATATAGGTTTTGATCATTTCTGTCATATTATGTAAAAAATATCTGCCTTACTCCTTCGGGAATATGAGGCGTGATGATTTTTTTTCATTATATTTCCTTTATGTATCTCAATTAATCCCGTCAGAGATTAATTTACGATGGTACTGCAATCTAAACAGTAATTATAATACTATACAGGGTGTAAAAAGACACTTAAGGAAGCCGAAAGCCACGTATTCTACCCATTATTTGGATCATTTTTTTATTTAAGACCATAGCTGGGACTCCACGTGTTATCGAGATATTGAAGGTCAAAGATGCATTTTTTATTTTTTGACAGTGACAGTGATTATTTTAGCGTAAAGCTACTTAGAACTGCAGCAGTTAACGGCTTCGTTAAGTGTCTTTTTACACCCTGTATACTAGCTTTATCCGCGGCTTCGCCTTCGTGGTATGTGGATAAAAAGTCTGTGTGTTAATTCAGGGTCTAAATCTACAAACCAAATTTCACTAAATCAGTTCAGCCGTTTTTGTGGTGGCCCGGAGGTTATGGAGCCCGCTTCTCATGCATGAGGGTGTTGGTTTGAAACCTGGCAAGTACCAATGTGACTTTTTCCGAGTTATATGTACTTTATATGATTATTTAGACACCATTGACAAACGGTGAAGGTAAACATCGTGAGGAAACCTGGACTTATAACTTCTAATTATAAGTTTGAAATCGCCAACCCGTATTGAGCAAGCGCGGTGATTAATGCTCAAACCTTCTCCGTGTGAGAAGAGGCCTTTGCTCAGCAGTGGGCACTTATAGGCTGATGATGATGATGATGATGTTTTTGAGTAAAATAATAACAAATTCTTACAAATATTTGTATTTATAATATTAGTAGGATTAGACATTATATAGGTTGATATTTATAAATCTAAGGGATATCTTAGCACGTAACTGTATTAATAATTTTACCTGGAAATACGGTAGTTTCCAACTAGTCAAATTCAATACTTTTATCCAAACGTCAAAAACTATACTTTTCTATGAAATTTGTATGAAAAACTGAGCTATGACGTCATTACTTTTTTGCGTCAAATAGCTTACCTACTTATTTATTGATAATTAGCTAAAAAAAATCTAAAAATTAGTTTATCGATCGATCGATGAATAAATGTATAGTTATTTTTCAATATTTTATTGTATTGAAACGTCGAAATAATTTATTTTTGACCTAGGAAACTACCCAATTAAACTTTGTATGCGAAAATATATATAACGGGTAAAAAAATTGAACTGTGTTATTGGAATTGTTGAAATCTCTTGTTAATATAATAATCAGAGGTGTTTAATGACAGAAGGTTGATATTCGTTTGCTAATGTTTTTTAATGAAACAACGTGTGATTTGTATGCCGGTTTATTTGCAACTGTTGAGTGGGGTTCATAGTGGACTGTATTCACAAGTATAGATAGCTATTACTACTCAATCGTTCATTAATAATATACAATGCTAATTTATTAAGACAATTTAGACAGAGGCCAAATCCTTTCCTTAAACTTTCCCCAATCCCTATTCCTTATCCCCCATCCACTATCTCCCATCACCCATGATATTGTTTCTTTTAGTATTCAGTTGTTAGCTTTTTCGATATTTCAATGCAATTAGGTATTTAAAAAAATCACACTATTATTAGGTCTTACGATATACAGGGTGTAAAAAGACACTTAACGAAGCCGAAAGCCATGTATTCTACCCATTATTTGGATCATTTTTTTCTTTAAGACCATAGCTGGGACGAGATATTGAAGGTCAAAGATGCATTTTTATTTTTTATTTTTTTGCGCAATCGAATTCTAAGTATTATTACAAAACTTTTTTCCAAACAAACATTACGTCGACCTACGTACTTATCACAGCGTTTTAATGCTAAGCTGTTAACCTTCGCACACAATGACACGAAGCCCGTTTGCTTTACATTGCGCGCAATAAAATTATTATTATTTTTGATACCTAAAAATAAAAGTCGTTTCCCAGTGATAATTTTAGCGTAAAGCTACTTAGTTAGAACTGCAGTATGCGTAGTTAACGGCTTCGTTAAGTGTCTTTTTACACCCTGTATTAGGTATATATACATGATATCCCTTTAATTAGTCAAAGCTAATATTGTTATTTGAATAAAAAAAACACGACGTCGCAACACAAAAATCCATACAAAAGATATAGAGAATTGTCAGTTTAAAGAAAATATTATTTAATCTGTATGATTGTATTATTAGTTTTGAAGTAACTTAGATAGTTAACTCCTCCTTTAGGACTGATGTTCAGCCGGGGTTGCGGGGTAAGCGCAATGATACACCGCAACCTCGGCCTAATAAAAAAACTGTCTCAATGGTTCTGGAATGGCAATCAGAACAGCTAGGGAGTGACATTCTATGAAGGAGTCTGTGTTCCCCGAAGGGCCCGAGTGAATAGGTTGCTTAAGGGTAGAACCGAAACAATGACCAATCACAGACAAAATAAATCTTACCATAAAAAAAAACTTAGATATTTTGTATTAAAATAAGTTGCTACTTTCGACCGATAATTGACAAAGGTTCTAATCAAAAATAGAGATTTGTAAATTTATCATCTAGATAAAGTATTACAGATTATTATAATTTAATATGAAATTATTTAAATTTGAAAGTAATAGGAATGATGGCAGAGTGTAATAATTATAGATCTATATAGACCGTCAGTTAGCATGTCAAAAAAACTATTTTTTTTTGTTATCTATGTTGGAGAGCCCGATCAGATACCATGACCTCACAGAAAACTGGCGTGAAACAACCACAGCGTTGTGTTTCGCCGTGTGAGTGAGGTTACCGAAGGCCCAATCCCTCTTCTACCTAAGCCACCAAGCTATATCATAGGGCACTTATTTTGTAAGGGGGAAATCATCAAAATACTTCATCCCACTTTAAGTGTGGGAGAGCCAAGCTTCGGCACGAATGGGTCGGCTCGACTGGAGTGATACCACGGCCTCACAGAATACCGGCGTGAAACAACCCACGGCGTTGTGTTTCGCCGTGTGAGTGAGCTTACCGGAGGCCTAATCTCTCCCGTTCCCTTGTCCCGTCCAGATCCTTATATCCGCAACCCCTATCCTCAATAGGTCGGCAACGCACTCGTAACTTCTTTGATGTTGCGGGTGTCCATGGGTGGCGCCAATTGCCTACCATCAGGTAATCCGTATGCTCGTTTGCCGACTTATACCATAAAAAAAATCCACCCAGTGTATGGCGAGAGAGGGTCCTAGTCAGTAAGAGACACTTCCTCTCATGTCACCCTGGAGAGTTCGAAGAAGTCATTTGATTTCCCCTAATAAAAAACCCCCTCTCGTCCCTTCTCCTGCTCTAGGACGTGGTACCTAATTCCGCTTGCCCCGCAACCCCGGCAAGATATAAGGCCCTTAGGTCGGGATTTGGACCGAATTCGAAGTGCTTTCAGGAAATATATACTTAAATTAATGATATTATAAGTAAAATGGTGTAGATACTAAGTGTGGGAGAGCCATGCTTCGGAACGAATGGGTCGGCTCGACCGGAGTGATACCACGGCCTCACAGAAAACCGGCGTGAAATAACCACTGCGTTGTGTTTCGCCGTGTGAGTGAGGTTACCGGAGGCCTAATCCTTCCACTCCCCCAATCCCTAAATTTCCAAATCCCTAATCCCTAAAAGGTCAGCAACGCACTCGTAACTCCTCCGTTGCGAGTGTCCATGGGCGGCGCTGATTGCTTACCATCAGGTAATCCGTCTGCTCGTTTGCAGACCTATTACATAAAAAAAGATAGGTTACATAAACAACATTCGATTTTCAAAAACGACACACTGATGCACACATGAATAAATCGTATGATACACATTAAAGTGGGATGGCATGATTCAATAATCGCGAGTGAAAAAGAGACAAATATGAAAAAGTGTGGCTAGTTAGCCACATTTTAATGTATCACTTGCTGAGCGCTTGTAACCTATCTACACCTTTTTACTTATAATATCATTGACTTAAATGAATTTTATTGGCCTATTTATTTTGAGATTAGTCGTGAATTGTCATTACTATAATTTTATATAGATGTATCTATTAGCTGGTTTCCTGCTTATTCTAATATAGTTAGCATGCTTGTTATAATCATTGTATGTATATAAGGAATTATGTTCACGTACTTATTAATTATTAATTGTAATAAATAAATATATCATTATTTATTGATTTTAGTGTTTTATTTGTTACTAGCAGCCCACCCCCGCTTCGCACGGGTCCAACTATCTCTAAATCAATGGAAGGGTCACTTGCCCAACTTTTTCTTTTCTAAAATTTTCTTTGATAAGAACCTTCTCCTGGCAGTAATAAATACAACAAAAAAAAGAATTGGCAAAATTGGTCCAGGCGTTCTTGAGTTATGCGCTTACAAACACATTTTGCGATTCATTTTTATATACAGACTAGCGGCCCGCCCCCGCTTCACACGGGTCCAACTATCTTGCTATCAAGGGGTCAGTTTTTCCTAATCTTCCCCTCTACTTTTCTAATATTTTCTTTGATAAGAACCTTCTCCTGACAATAACAAACACAG